AAACAGCTCCCAGCTACGTACCAAGTGTCTTAGCTCGGCCCGTCCCCTTCCGTTAGTCACGGCCTGGACAGTCCTCATGGCACGTATCTGTTTACGTATTGGATATTACGTCATCGACTCCTAGGATAGGTCTCCTGTAGTAGTCGCTTCAACTCGGCTGGTTGTAGCGGACTTAAGGATCCCACTTCCTGCGACTCGCCACGCCTTCTGGTGTAGACCTTGAAGATCGTGGTGACGAACCAATTTAATTTTGTTAAGTTCTCCAATGAGTTGTCGGCTGGGGCCAACATTGAGTTCAAGCTCATGGTATTTACATTTTTTTTGAGCACTAATCTCAGATTATTGTCTTATACTCAACTACATTTATGCTACTGAAAAGGAAATTAAAAGATTACCAACAATTTGAGCTTTATGATCAGTCATACGCATTGATTGATATTACCCCAAGCCCTTAAAGTTTCCAACAGGGCGTGTGGCGCAGTTGGTAGCGCGTCTGCTTTGCATGCAGAAGGTCATTGGTTCGAATCCGATCTCGTCCATTTTTTTGGTGTTTACCTTCTTATATTTAATAAACAATGTTGTAAATTTGAAGCGACCAGAAGGATGCCTGTATTTTCCTTTTCTCGTTGAAAAGACAAAATTGTTTGTTCACTTCCTGTACTAATCGCGCGAAGTCGGACCGGACTTTCACGCGTACGCGAACACCCTGAACTCATAACATCAATCGTGAAACCAAAATGCCAGGGTACGTTTTCTTCGAAAAGAAAGACTTCATTTCACTAGCTGCGCAAGAAGGAGCAATGTTCTCTATGATCTGCCTCTGCCTAAAATTAGAGCTATTGGAATCTTCCTCTCGGGTAAAATCTTTTGATACTAACATCGCAGGGAGGTCGTATCTTTTCAATTGGGCCAATGTGGAAACCAAGTAGGACTCCAATACTGGGAGCAAATGGCCCTTGAGCATGGAATAAAAGCTGATGGTACGCCGGAGCCCTTTGTCAACAATCAGCTCCATTTTGAGAGCAATAGCGAAGTACATCCTTCTGACAAGTCTTTGGTTCATGAACGAACGGATAACACAAATGTGTTTTACACATACAGCGAGCAAAATAAATACACGCCGCGGGCGGTTCTTATTGATTCTGAACCATCCGTCATTGGCAAATGCATGTCAAGCTGCCCGATGTTTAACCCTCGAAATGTCCAATCAAGTGAGGGTGGAACCGGTGCTGCCAACAACTGGCGCCACGGTCATTTGTATGCCACGCAACACGAAGAAGAACTTACAGATTTGATCGATCGTGAATTGGACAAATGTGATAATTTGTCTACTTTTCAACTATTTCATAGTGTTGCTGGAGGCACAGGTTCTGGTGTGGGTAGTTTTCTTCTTGAGCTTCTAAACGACCGGTATGGTCGTAAGAAAATGATCTCTACATTCCTGATATTCCCCTCGAACGACAAAACTTCAGATGTGGTTGTGCAGCCATATAATACTGTCTTGACTTTGAAGCGGCTCATTGACCACAGTGACGCTACCTTCATCTATGACAACGATTCCTTGAACGCGTTGGAATCGTTGTTACTTTCTCCTGAATCAAATAATCCCCCAGCTATGACGTCGGCATTTGAGAGAGAAAACAAGCTCATAGCTTACGTCGCGTGTGGGGTATCAAATCCATTGAGATTCCCAAGCTACATGTACAGCTCTTACGAATCTATAATTTCAACACTAGTGCCAACGCCCGAGCTCAAATTCTTGTCGTCATCAATAGCACCATATGCAGATATTCCAGGTGCCACACATCGGAAGAATTATGTCAGTCTTAATGAAAGTGACATTATCCTCGAACTTCTTAACGACAAATGCAAGATGAACCACGTTAGTCTGCACCCGGAATATATTTCGATGATGGATTACATTGTCGGAGATGATCTCGATCAGCATGAGATTCGGAAGGGGCGCATTCGGGCACAATCCAGGGTGCCGTTTGTGCCTTGGACCTCTGCCTCTATTCATGTTGTAAACGGACGAAAGCTGACTTTCTCCACGAGTCGTGGCTTGAGTGGCTTTCAGATCTCTAACAATACTTCAATACCTCAGTTGTTTTCAAAAATAGTGAGGCAATATGACTTACTAGCCAAGAGATCGGCCTACATCAATTTGTACACGGAAACACGGGATCCCGCCGAAAGAACCGAGGTTCTAGAGACGTTTAATGAGTGTAAAGAGAGCGTGTTGTCTACTATTGAGGAATACAAAGCCTCTACAGAGATGAGCTATTTGGCCAACGAGTTTCTTGACGGAGATGATGATATGTCGTAAGAAGTATTACGGGAAGCTTACTTTCTTGTTATGCTTCTTGGTCCAGCTGCCATAGGAGTATATAATTTCGGGTGTCAGGAAGGAAGATTATATCGGGTGATATTTGAGGCCACGTGGCCATTCTGGAGCGTTTAAGTTTTACGTGAGAAGCTTTTGCAAAATGCTTTGAGCAATTGCATGGTTGACTGACATGATAAGAATAACGGAGCGCGTATCTCCTTATCGCCTTGTCAATCCCGCGTTTGTCGAACTTTATTTCTAAATGGGATGTGGCGTATAAGCCACATTTCAAAAGTACAAATAAAGGGCAAATGGATCCTGTCAAAAAAGAGAAGCAATCTCAATGTCTCATTTAATCTCTAAACGGGCTTCCTCCCGCAAAATTTCCCATTTCGCCAATGACACTCTCCAAGAGGCTCCGAAGGGATTCGAACCACATCCAAGTCTTCTTCACTTGGATTACGGAACACCAAACGATGGGTTCTTTCCTGTTAAATCAATTGGAATTTCAGTGAAGAATACCGCATTTGAAGTTGTGGATGCAATTTTTGACGGATCTAAATCAGTTGGGGATGTGACTTCTCTTCAGGAAAGCAAAGTGCTTGTCTCGAATCGCGCGTCTGATCCGAGAATCATAGATATCGCAACGGGGTTGCAGTATTCGGAAATAAAAGGCATTCCGCAGTTGCAAAAATTCACCAGAGAAGTTGTGGTCAAAGCACACCCTCCAATTTACTCGGAATGGAAGACAATAATTTCTGGGGGTGCTGGGGAAGGATTGAACAAAGCAATTGATGTATTTTTGGATGAAGGCGAAGTGGTGCTTTTAGAGGAATTCACGTTCACTCCGATCTTGCAAAACATCCAGAATGCTGGCGCTATTCCCATACCTATCAAATTGGACTTAAATACTTCATCGGATCAGGCTAATGGAATTGATCTTGAGTATTTGACAAATTTATTAGAAAATTGGGACGATGCGAAACCAGAATTGAAGGGGATTAAGCCCAATGCACTCTACACTATCTCATCTGGCCAAAACCCCACTGGTCTCCACTCAAAGCTTGGAGTTCAGAAAGCAGATTTACGCTTTGGCGGAGAAACACGATTTTGCTATTATTGAAGATGATCCCTATGGCTACTTGACCCTTCCACCGTATGAAGAATCCAATGTTGCCAAGAGGCCAATATGCCTTGAAGTCGAAGACTATTTTCAAAATCACTTAATCCCGTCATATTTGACGATCGACACCAGCGGGAGAGTATTACGTATTGAAACGTTTTCCAAGCTCTTTGCGCCTGGATTGAGATTGGGTTACATGGTGGGCCATGAAAAGGTCATTGATGCAATAGCACGGTATTCTGCTGTTGTCACCCGATCTTCTTCAGGCGTCTCTCAGCTTTTAGTGAATAATGTTATTGAGCAGAATTTTGGTGGAGTTGATGGATGGTTTAAATGGATCCTAAAGCTCCGCGGAGCCTACGCGAAACGTAGAAATGTTTTACTCTACAATCTTTTTGAGCTGAAAGCATACAAGAAGGGGTACTTAGACTTGATCGACCCCAGGGCTGGCATGTTTGTATGCGTTGTTATCAATTTTCCAGTCAACACAGACATAAAGAAAAAACTCGCCTTGTTACAATGGAAGTTCCGTGCGTATGGAGCGTTGTGGCAGGAATTAAAATGGCCGTGGATCCGGAGTTTAGTTTGGAAAGAGGAAATTTCTTCAGATTAACGTTCGCGCCTGTTGAGACAGAAACGGAAATCGCAGAAGGTGCCTGCAGATTTTCTGCTGCAGTGTATGACTTTTTCGAAAAAGGACTCGAGTTTTGAATCTCCATTTGATCATTTATTTCGGCCCCTAGAAGAATATATATACCGTAGTTCTCGACCAATAGCATCGTAATCACTTTTGATTTTCTCAAAAGCAAAGAACATGGGCTTTTCGCTAGAAACCGAGTCTTAGAGGCTTTACGTAACATCAGGCGATAGTCGAAATACCGAATATTGATCTGTGTATGTCAACATCACGTGACACTTTTGATCTTTAACCTTGGTTCTTTACCCCCGCACACACGTACCCGTGGATTCAACTTGGCTCAGACCACAAAGCATCTAAATAATTCGAAATGGATTTTAATTTTTCAGCCTTCAAAAACAACTTGAAATCATTTGGCGACAAGGTCAGCATCGAGTTCAACAATGAAGTCTTACCCTTTGCGCAGAGAACCACTCGCTTAGTTCAGGAGAGAATGGGCAATGTTAACGTGGATGAAATTAGCCAGTTGCCATCCGAATACGTTGAGCTAGCCAACAGATGCAACAATGTAGAAAAGCTTTACAAGAACATCTTGAAAGTAACGCAAAATTACGAGAACGAGTCGTACGATTACCCGATTAATTTGCAAGAATCGTTCACTGAATTTGGCAAGAATATTTCTGACAGGTTCTCCAACCTATCCAAAGCAACTACTCCCGCAGAGGCACAAGCGGCTTTGGTTACCCCAAATGGCGAGTTCAAACCACCAAAGACTATGTATCACGCTCTTGCACGGGCCACTGACGGGTCCATCTTAACGGCTTCTGCAGACGCCAACCAAGACCCTTTGATCAAAGCATTAGACTTGTACTCCTCCAACTTGAGCAAAATTGCCAATGCCAGATTAGGTCAGGACCAACTAATCAAAACAAAGTTCAACGCACCTTTGTCCACAACTTTACGTTCGCTTCTTGGTCAAAGCTCCTCGATTCAAAAAAGAGTGGAAGAGAAAAGAATCAACTACGATGTTTCCAGACAGGCATTAGCCAGCTGTTCCAACCCGTCAAAAGAGCCGCAATTGAGAGTATCTATGGAGAATGCCGAAGATGACTTTGCTAACACGGTTGAAGACGCGCTCTCCGTGATGCAGAATGTGTTAGAACAAGCCAAACCAATTGAGGAAATCTTAGAACTTGTTAAGGCGCAATTGGCTTATCACAAATTAGCCAGCGAGTTGCTCGGTGGCATGATTGGTGATATCGAAGGTTTAGCTGATGAAAATTCAAAGTTGCAGGGCAGCCAGCTGAGCCAGCGTAACTCTGAGTCTGGAGACTTCGATATCTAGCCAAATATTTGAGTTGATGTTATTTTGTAGCGAAACAAAATTTGGATCTTTTGTATGTCATACCTTTGAATGCTATATTTTTGGAAAAATTCAATATGAGGTGGACCTGTCCAGTCAAAATTTTTATGATGGACATTTACACGGCTCGTTGCGACAAACAGAAAAATATTATTGCGGGTTCGTTTCCACACTGAGTTACATTTCTCAGGTCATCAGAATAAAAGGCAGAATGTGGTTAAATAGGGGAGTGCAACTTTTGTTGACTGAATTTTATTGCCTATTATCTAATTTAGTTTCAAAGCTTCCAATCTGATGTCGGTGGCCGACTTTTCAGTCGTGTAACCATAGTTGCCCTCAAGTAGAATGGCGTGGATAGACTTCAAAGCAAGAATAGTGTCTTTTGAATTGATTACAGCGGAAATGTTAATTTCATTTGCACCTTGACTGATCATTTCGATGTTAATGTTTTTATCAGCTAGAATCTTGAACATGTTTCCAGCTATGCCAATGAGATTAGCCATTTGCTTGCCAACCAAGGAGACAATGGCCATATCTCTAGTTACATCCAAAGTACCCATGAGTCTAAGCTCTTTCAATGCGTATTTGAGATTGACCTCTTGTTCCTGTTGAACTTGTAATGCCATGGAAACATGGACTTCGGAAGTACAGATCAAGTCAACCACCAACTTAAATCTGTCCATGGTGGAAAAAAGACTGGCTAAGAATCCATGCGATAATGTCTTTCTGTTTGAGTGGACGTTAATGACCACAATATCTTGCTTGGCTGTGATGGCAGTGGCAGATCTTCTTTTGTGTGTCTGGATGTAACTGGATGAAAGAGTTTCGTAGGCAGCAGGGGGATGAGGTGGCGTTGCCTCGCCCCTTCTGCCAATGTTGTCTGGATAAATAATTGTGCCCTTCCCGGTTGGATTTTCGACATTCTTGATACGAATTGGAATTTTGGCCTTAATGACTTGCTCCATTGTGAAGGGGTGTATCACCTCAGAACCATAATACGTTAACTCAGCCGCTTCGTCAGGTGTAACACTGTCTAAGAGTCTTGCAGTAGGCACCTTCCTTGGGTCCGCAGTGAAAATCCCGTCAACTTCTTTCCAAATTTGCAACTCCTCGGCTTGAACACCAACGGCTATCAAAGCAGCACATAAATCGGTATACCCACGGCCAACTCCATTAAGCAAGCCGCCAGCAACAGTTCCAAAGTATCCAGTGAAGACGGGTGTCACGCCAGGCTCAATTGCAGCAGCTTTCTCGCCTAGCCTTGAACTCAAGAACAGATAGAAGTTAGCATCAAAGCCTTTCGAGAAGTCATAATCTAGAGGAATGACATCACTCAAGTCGATATAGACAGATTTCAAGCCACGATCGTTCATCAATGATGACATGAACAAACACGATAACTTCTCGCCGATAGACATAATACTGTCCAAGGTTCTTGGGCTGATTTCGCCAATGACTTTCGATGCGTGCAACAATTCATGTGCTCTTTTGATTTCAAGATGTGATTGCGCGATTAAGTCTTTCTGGAGCGTTTCGTCCTTGATTTTATCTCTGGCATTTTGAGTGTGATCATCCTCAATGACTTGGAGTAAAGTAGCAAAATCAGCATTTTCAGTGGCAAGATCTGCCGCCCGGAGTAATCTAGAGGTAGTTCCTTCGCTTTTCGTATTTGAGGATCTGGCCGAACAAACAACGGCAACACGACTGTGTTTGCTAAATTCCTTCACAATGCTGTCAACAATGTTTTCGGGGAATTTGCCAACAGACGTGCCACCAAATTTCTGGATGATCCATCCTTGGGAGCGAAGTTCTTTCAAATCAAGAACTGAGTTGTAGGAGCTGGCCGGGGACTTTGGTGGAGGAGAAACCATGGTGGTTTTTAGGTATGTACAAGAAGTTGTGAATGATTTGGATTGAATATGATGGCAACAGTTTAATTACCACTAAATTTTAGTACTGGTTATCTAATTGTGCCAGTGATGCTTTTGAGATGAACTAATGTCACTTTTCTTTTTCTGAAATTTTTGTCGCAACTTATATTTCCGCTATGACTCAAAACGACCGCGCCGGAATCGGCCCCTGCATCCTGAAAATGATTCACTGTCACGTGTCGATAAGCTACGTGTTTGCAGCTGGGGCAAACTGAGATTGTTCAAAACAATAATTCTGATCTGTATCTTCAGAACAAGTCTGACACCTTAAAAAAACTTTGGAAAAAACTTGTAATAGTTTCCAATCGAGAAAGTAACTTGTTTGGACTATTATTCATAGTTCAGCCCAATACTGGGCACTATTTTTAAGATATCAGAAGACACATAATGCTTCAGACTTTACATGTCCAGTCAAATTAAGTTGACACACGTGATGCTGATTGTTTTGCATGTTACCCAAACCTTCATATTTTATAGGAGTATGATATTTCGGAGGCTTTATATTCAACTGTTTTATTGACACTGAACAAAGCTTCGAGATTTGTGTTACACTTTTTACCGCAATGTTCTTCATAAACGGTATAAAGGATGGAAGATCCGTCATCCATAAAGGTAGGTGTAGCAAAAACATTTTGAATCATACTTCGTATTTGACATACGTAGTTCCACAAAAATTTACAAAAGAGATCAACGGAAAAACTACTTATTCATACTTTTAATTTGTATAGACTTTTCCAGATCAAAAGCAAAATGGAAAAAACGGGTTGAATCATGAGCGCGTGTATTGGGATTCGAGATCAAATCAAACTCAACATCTGGGCAAGAACCGAAATAGAAATTGATCAAAAACGTGAATTTTACGATTTGACTCATAAATCTTGACGTGATTTATATAAAATTTTGCCTGTCATGTTTTCCAGGTAGGACACCGAATATGAGCTGATTCTGTTGCGAGATCTCAGCTCATCATGCGCACTCCCAATCATGCGGAACTCGCAAAGTGAAAAATAAAGGACATTCTTAATGGTACTCTTCAGAACAGATGTCGAAAAGAGAAGCAGACAGTGAAACCCCATCGGACGACTCAGTCCAACCCAAGCAGCTCAAATCGACATATACGCATTCTGAGATCCAGAGCTTTTTGAACAAGAAGGTCTTCGATGATGCCTTCCAAAAGACCCTCGAATCCAGTATTTCAGATAGTCGGCCCTACAAATGGGGGACTGTCACTGAGCTCGTCGATGACACTCTTCTCAGGAACGTCAGGAAGGAGGTGTTAAACGAGATTGCTTTCACTAAAAAGGAAACCGATATTTACAAAGTCTACCAGTCGGGTGACTTGGCGAACTTATCAGGATTGAATTGGGACGACTTATCTCGATTGCCTTCCTTGTACAAGCTTCGTGCGGCCATTTACTCGGAGGAGTTCCGTGACTTTGTGTCAAATGTAACAGGCTGTGGTAAATTAAGTGGAACAAAAACCGATATGTCCATCAACACATACACTAAAGGATGCCATTTGTTGACCCATGACGATGTCATCGGCTCCAGGCGTGTGAGTTTTATTCTCTACATGCCAGACCCCGACTATAAGTGGAAGGCGCATTACGGAGGAGCTTTAAGGTTGTTTCCAGCCATTGTGCCGAACGTGCCTAAAACTGACTACGAGACAAAACTTATACCGCAATTCAATCAAATTGCATTCTTCACAGTTCAACCAGGATTGTCCTTCCATGATGTCGAGGAAGTACGTGTTGACAAGCAAAGACTATCTATACAGGGGTGGTTCCACATTCCCCAGGAGGGTGAACCCGGATTCGTCCCCGGGGAACAAGAGGAAACTGAAGCGAAAAGCACTTTGCGCCAATTACAGACAAAGGAACTACAAGAATTTGACTTCCCAAAACCCATCAGAGTGGATTTCCCAAAAGATGAAGTTAAGGTTTACGAGTCGCTCGACTTGAAAGGATTTCTATCTAAAAGAGACTTAGAATACTTATCTAAGTACCTTAACCCAACCTACCTTACCGAGTCTTCTCTCAAAGTTTTGAGGGAAACATTTTTGGAAGAGTCGGTTGTCGATATAAACGGATTTTTGAACGACGAGTATGCCGGTGTGCTTAAAACCAAGCTCAGGCAAAGCGAAATGGACCGGAAAGCACCTCAAACAGCTGAAGAAATCCGGTCTCCTTGGAAGTGTGCGGTTCCACCCCACAAACAAAGGTACATGTACATAGATGGAAAGTCCGAGTTTCAGCTACACGAGGAAGCAATTAGCATGGTGAATCATACGGGTCCACAGGAATTGCCTAACTTCGAGCTCACCAAGAGAATTTCTGACGAAGAAAGTGAAAAGATGATCATAGAAGTGGTTCAGCTCATGAAGTCCATGGCTTTTCGCAAATGGTTGGTCTACGTTACAGAAATCGTCCCCACGAGTGATCAGGTTTTGGCAAGGAGATTCCGTCCTGGTCAAGATTTTATACTCGCGACCACCACGGAGAAGGACTTAGCAAGAGAAGGTGAGTTGAACATTCTTTTGGAAGCCACTCTTGGTCTCACGCCCACAGCCGCGAATTTAGAAAACTGGGAGTCCGGTGAATTTGGAGGATACGAGCTTTGTATGGCAATCAACGGAGGAGAGAGTGATGAAGAGTTTGAGGATGATGACCCTGCAATCTACAAGGCCAATGATCCAGCAGATGACTCTGTATTGTACACCAGTCAATGCCGATGGAATAGCCTAAGCCTTATGTTAAGAGACCCAAGTGTTTTGAAGTTTGTGAAATATGTTAGCATCAACGCTAAGGGATCACGCTGGGACATTACTGGACAATGGAATGTGAAAAGCAACGAGGAAGAAGAAGATCAATAAATGTCTAGCTGGAAACACGTTGCTATTGTTATCGACAGGCCTAGATTAATATTCTGGTTGGTGCGCCACAATGTCGCTTGTTTTCTTCATCATTCCATAGACTCGGATGTTTCAGGTACCCTAATACTGATGTGAATAGAAGAGGCGCGTGTCCAGACTCTATAAGGTTAAGATGATGTAGAATATTTGGTGAGATGAATGCATTACGAGATATGAACAGCTACAATGGAGGCGTAGACTCATTTTTCCTGCAAGTATTCATTGGATGTCATGTGCATTTGATCAATGACGCTTGGCCGTGGCTATTCAGCCCGAAACCATCCGCCGTCATTGGCTGTGGCGGGTTGCAGTGTTGACCAGGGATGTCTTACTAATCGACTGAAACTAACCTGGTTAGGAATCACTTTATTTTTTTTGTATTGGTGATGATGCGTCATGAAAACCAAATGGCGGATCAATGATTGGAGAGTCCCCAGGAGGCCTTGAAGAATGCCTCTAAACTATTGGCGATCTACAGGCCCGCCGCGTTCGGGAACTGGTGTACATGATGGTGCGTCCGCTTACAAATTAGCCGGGTTCAAAACAGCTGGACCATATTGTGGGCCCAGGTGCAAAATTGGCAGTTTTCTAATGAATCGTCAGCAGCAGAATTCCAGAGACCTGGCATTCCTTAGAGTCATACTCCACGAATACGTGCTGGTGCGACAGAAGAATTGGCCGACGAATACCAGCTTGGTTGTCAGAATACGCACTGCGCGAAATGGGCATCAATTCCCGAAGCGCTGAAAAAAAGCTTTGGGTTCCGTCACTCGTTTGGGTCAACCGATCCTGCGGCTTCCGGGTAAACCGTGCGCGACACAGCGACACAAGATCTCTATACGGTGCGAAAATCAGATGTGCACTCTGTATATAGCCATCGGAAGCTGCCCATATAACCGAAGTTCTCGTCTGCCCCAGAAGCACGCACTCTCTGAACCACCGATCTATCATCATGGCTGACGAATTCAACCCGCTTGCAGTGCTTGCCACTGTTGTGGCCATCATCTCTTCGTTCATTGCATTGTACTTTGTCAAGAAGAACAAGAAGCCGCAGCCCGTTTTGTCCCCCACGGAGTTCAGAAAGTTCCCCTTGATCGAGAAGATCCGGGTGTCGCACAACTCATGTATTTATAAGTTTGGCTTGCCTCGCTCAACCGACAGATTGGGCTTGCCCATCGGGCAACACATCTCCATCTCTGCCATCATCGATGGCAAGGAGGTGGTGAGATCGTACACGCCCATTTCCAACGATGACCAGTTGGGCTCCTTCGACTTGTTGATCAAGACTTACGAAAACGGAAACATTTCCCGCTACGTGGAGTCGAAGAAGATCGGCGAGACCATCGACGTCAGGGGCCCCAAAGGGTTCTTCACCTATACTCCAAACATGCGCAAGTCTCTCGGCATGGTTGCTGGAGGTACCGGAATCGCCCCGATGTACCAGGTGCTCACTGCCATTTTGGATGACCCAACCGATAAAACCAAGATCCACTTGGTGTATGCCAACGTTGCCGAGAACGACATTTTGTTGAAGGCCGAGCTCGAGGCCTTGGAGGCCAAGCACCCGGAACAGCTCAAGATCCATTACGTGTTGAACAATGCGCCTGAAAACTGGAAGGGCTCCGTTGGCTTTGTCACGCCTGAGATCATGGATACCCACTTACCCAAGAACCACGAGGACACGAACTTGTTGATCTGTGGGCCACCCCCAATGGTTTCTGCAATCAAGAAGGCCGCACAAACTTTGGGCTACCCCAAGGCTAAGGCTGTCAGTAAATTGGGTGATCAGGTTTTTGTCTTCTAGCTCCTTCCACTGAGAATGCTTTACATAATAATACAGTACAGTGATATGAAATGCGGTCCTCGAGACCCAAAGCGGTCCTCGTCTGTCTTTCTTCTCTCCTCCATCTTTAGTATGCTTGCTGCTGTGCTCCGGCTAATTTCCTACGAAAACCACGACCGAGATTATCTACGGGTTATACAAACTTAGGAAATACCCGGAGAAATGTATATATTGTGTTCACTCTTTCTAGATTTTGTGTCCCGTCATCTATTTGTCATGTTTGGCGTGTCCTATTCATTCTGTCCGCGTACTAGCATATCGCTGCCTGCATCCATTGGGCGTGACCAGACGCCTCACTATAATGTTGAGCAACGTTCTTTGCGAAATCACAGTTTCTCTCTCGCCCGGTCACTTTGCCGAGTTGCGGGAGAGGCTTTTTTTTTCTTCTATGCGTAGAAAACTCGGCCTATGCTTTTATTCTTGCTCTAGCTTGCAATTCTTTCAAAAGCTCCTCGATTTATAGCCCCTTATTCCACTTCGTGCGTGCCGTCCTTCATACGTCATCTCACCAGCACTAAGACGAGCTGGACTTGCATAATCAATTACACATACACCCTGCTTTCGAAAAACTAGACCTTCCCCATCTCCAAGTACTCAATAATCAAACCAACTGAGTAGAAATCACACCCAGTGGACATGATGATCTTGATCAACACGCTTCTCGTTTTGGGGGCCATGCCCCTACTAATACTGTTTGCCACTAGCTCTGCGGTGCCAAATTGGAACCTCCAAGATGGGTACATCGCCAACACTTTGGACAACGATTATGCTGAAATAGATAATGTTTTGCGCCCCACACTAGATCGCAAAAAGTACCCTCCGATTTTGCGCAAACCAACATCAGAGAAGAGAACCTTGCGTAATGGGGAGATCCCGCAATACGTGCTTGACTTTGCTCCTTACGTGCACCTTTACTCGGAGGAACGATATTTTCTGTACGACATCAAAAAGTATGTCGAGCATTTCACCGTCAAATTCAGCAACGGCACTGTCGTCGAGGGCACGGAAGATGGTAAACTTAATATTTCCAGTTTGGGGAGCTTGCCCAAGAAAGCTGGTATATATTTGACGGCAAACGAGGACTTCGACCTTGATCCAGAGTGGATCACAGGACTCAAGAATAAGCCACTGTTGAGAAACGGCGAGATAAAAGATGCCCCTGCCATATTGATTGTGGTGGATAAAGGCAACGGCTGGGTCGATGCCTTCTGGTTCTACTTTTATTCGTTTAATTTGGGACCGTTTGTGATGGGCTCTGGGCCCTATGGTAACCATGTCGGTGACTGGGAACACTCGCTTGTGCGTTTCTACAATGGACGGCCAGTCATCGTATGGATGTCTGCCCATGGTGGTGGCGGTGCGTATCACTACACGAACTTAGAAAAGTATGAACTAGATTCTAATCATCCAATCATCTTTTCTGCTCGTGGAACACACGCAAATTATGTTTCTGTGGGTACGCACCCTCATGATCTCCCTTACCAGATTTTATGTGACTTCACGGACCGTGGGCCGTTGTGGAACCCTACGAAAAACTACTTGGGTTATACTTACGATGGAAAATTCGTTTCTCCTGCCGAGAACAACTCTAACCCGAATCATACCGGTAGAGAGCTTGAGTACGGAGATTGGCTCACGTTTACTGGCCATTGGGGAGACAAACAATTGAAGAGTTCCGATCCAAGACAACAACACTCTTTGATTGGAGGATACAAATACATCGATGGTCCTCGCGGGCCTTTGAAAAAGAATTTGCTTCGGATTATCCCCTGTGAACGTCACAAGTGGTGGAACTTTTGGAATGGCTGCAATGTTAGGCAAAACATCAAATGGGGCATAGGCGTGGAAAGCGAAGGATATAATTGCGGCAATATTTTTCTAAGAATCAGGCCAGCCTGGCTCAGCAAGATATTGCAAAAGATCACCTGGGGAGGCTGGTTTTGCTTTGTGGTGGATTTGATATATGGATAACTGACATTCATCGGCTTCACTCGAGGCATAGTCAGGCTTGTCTCACGTGATTTCCTTCAGGTTGCCCTGTATGTCTCATGCTCGATGCAACCGTTTGCGACTTGATCGTGAGTCAGGTCTGTGAAATGCCGTGGCCGGCAAATACTGTTTTGGGCCCTAATGACATGCTCACAATCCTACTCAAAACATTTATAGTTGAATTGTTTCATTTTAAAGAAAATACACAATAGAAAAACTGGTTATGCTTGTCTTGTTTTGCCCAAGCTTGCTTGCTATCATGATGATCGAGGTAAAGAAAAAAAAAATTAGACATATAGACGCGCACAGGCATCGACTTCAAAATCTAATGATCATCATTTACTAGTCGTTGCGGAGTTTTGCTAATGTCTCTATCTGATAAGAAAACCAATGATATCGAGGAACGATATTGCCAGACCTCCGAATTCCTGAGATGGCAAAATTTCAAAGATTCTTTCAAGCGGGTCAATGTGGAAGAAGATAATGATTCGTTTGAAGATATGAATGACATCGAAAAGGCCAATCTTCTCACAGCCAACTCACCTCTTAAACGAAAATTAAAATCAAGAAATATAAGCATGATAGCTATTGGCTCTTCCATAGGAAGCGCATTGTTTGTTGGTTCCGGTTCCGCTTTAGCAACAGGAGGTCCCGCAGGTATCTTAATCACTTGGACCATCACTGGATTCGCTATTTTCACAACAATGCAAAGTTTGGGAGAACTTTCCGTTACATTTCCCGTCAGTGGTGGCTTCAACTTGTACGCAAGCCGTTTTATTGACCCATCGGTTGGATTCGCTGTGGCTTGGAACTACTTCATTCAGTTTTTAGTGTTGCTTCCGTTGGAACTTGTGAGTAGTTCCATCACCATGCAATTTTGGAACAGTTCCATTAATGCAGATGTTTGGGTGTTGATCTTCTATGTTGTGGTATGCTCGATCAACTTGTTTGGTGTACGTGCTTATGGTGAAACCGAATTTGTATTCTCGTTCATTAAAGTCATCGCTGTCATTGGTTTCATCATTGTTTCCATAGTACTAGCAGCCGGCGGTGGACCAAGTGGTCACTCACATGGTGCCGAGTATTGGCATGATCCTGGTGCGTTTGCCAATGGGTTCAAAGGTGTCATTTCTGTCTTTGTCACTGCAGCATTCGCTTATGCTGGCGTGGAGCTTGTTGGTCTTGCAGCCGCGGAGGCCGAAAACCCACGAAAGTCGCTTCCCAGAGCCATCAAACAGGTTTTCTGGCGGATCTTGATGTTCTATTTGGTTTCATTGACTTTGATCTGTTTCTTGGTGCCATACAATTCGGAAAAATTGCTCGGTGCATCATCGGTCGATGTAACTGCATCTCCGTTTGTCATTGCAATCGAAGAGGGAGGTATAAAAGGGTTGCCTCATGTCATGAATGCTGTGATTTTGATCTCTATCATTTCCGTGGCATCAACATCTGTTTATGCTTCGTCAAGAACTTTGACCTCTTTAGCCGAGCAAGGTTCGGCACCCAAAATTTGTGCCTATGTGGACCGGGAGGGCAGACCTTTAGTGGCGATTATCATCTGTAACATTTTCGCTTTGCTCGCCTTCATTGCTGCCAGTGGCAAGGAAAGTGAAGTCTTCACGTGGCTTTTGAGTATATCAGCTTTGAGTTCCATCGCCCTGTGGATCTCCATCAATTGGGCCCATATAAGATTCAGGCATGCTTTGAAAGCACAAGGAAGAGGCACAAATGAATTGCCATTTGTTGCACAAACCGGCACTATAGGCTCATATGTTGGAGGCTTAGTGTTTGTTTTGGTTCTTATTGCACAATTCTGGATTGCGCTTTTTCCTCTCGGGGACAGCCCTAACGCATCAGACTTCTTTGAGTCTTACTTGGGAGGAGTCATCCTTATTTTGTTCTATGTGGGACACAAGATATGGAAAAAGAACTGGATCTTCCAGATACCCGCTAAAGACATTGACATTGATACTGGACGCAGGGAAACAGATCTCGAACTACTCAAGGAGCAAATTCGCCAGGAAAAGGAGTTACTTGCTCGTAAGCCCTGGTATTTCAGAATTTATCACCTCTGGTGTTGAGTGCACTTCGATGCTATGTATATATATGGTGCGCTTTTTGATGCTGTTGTTAACAAATTAAATGAAAAGGTTATTGGTAGGTTTCTCCTACACTGAACAATTCTGACTTTTCTCAAAATTCGAGGTCTCTCAAATCTCCGGCTTCCAAAATCGCGTCGATGGCAATTTGATAGGCTGATTAACTCAGAAGGATTCAGCAAGAACTTGAGAAGAAACTATGCCTCCTATCCATAACACTAATGGTGTTACTATTTTCTTATTAGTTCCTCTCCAAAAGTTTAACGCCGTTTTAGATAATGATTCATCAGTATAGGATCCTTTCGTTGACCCCGCGTTGCGTATACGCATTCTTCTCGCGCGTATTCTTACTTTTGATGCTCAACCCCGATCCTTGCTTCTAAAGTTAATCTTCTAGCCCCTAATCTAACTGGCATATGTCTGACAAAAATGGATCCGGGCTACGAAGCCTGGGTCTAGGTGGAGTCTTCAAATCTTTGACCAACTCTTTGAAACCTGCTTCGGGGAGAGTACCCGTGGTGATTAATGCCAAGGTCGTTGGAGGTGCATCTGATTTGCAAAAGCTCTTGAACCAACTCCAGCATAACGCACTCCCTCTACGAGTTTCGGCTGCTATGGAGATTACGAAATCTCTAAGAATATACTCTGTGTCATCTATTCCCGAAATATGGTATCTCGCCAGAGATCTATGTGACCTGAGACTCGCATCTTCCGTGCGGGAGGTGGCTATAACCTTGATGATTCAATGCATCAAGCATGACTCTCCCGAAGCCAGCAGCAGAATCATGTACTTTAGAGATATTTTAACGTTTTGCAAGATCACTGAAACAAACTTAGATCCTGAGTTCAATTTGTTTTTCGAGGCATTGAGGTTGTTAACAGATGACGGGAGAGATATACATGATTTCTGCATCTACAGTCACGATCTGAATTGGTTCAAGCTCATAACAAAATCCTTTGTTTCAATGAAGTACTTGTGTGATCTGAAGAGGACACAGAATGTCAGTCTTGACATCATTTTGAGTTTCGCTCAGTATCTATGCAACTGTTTCAAATTTAACTTCTCGATTCTTGACGAGACCTTTACCGCGTTCATATTACAAGGTGTCTTTCACATCGCATCAAGTTCAGAAGAGCCATCTTTAAAGTTTGCCTTGTGTGAACTTGTACGCACAATTGCCATCTTTGCATTCATTCCTGCCGATACCTATACGACGGTAGTCTTCTTTCTATGCTCGATGGCTCCAAGAAGTCTGAAGCTACTCAGCATTTCCTGGGAAGCCATGTCAAAATTGTTCTATGTATCTCCTTTATATGCCTTGGATGCTACAATGAGCATTTTCCACGCCCCGGAATTAGCTAGGTTCAGAGGGAGTGATATGAGCCTTGCTGATTTGAAAGGCGTGCCTGGGTATGAGTATATGTTGACAGCATTGGGTGCGCTTTCTATGTTGGAGAATATGCTTTTGTTAAATGTCTTCAATGAAGATGTGGAGTCATTTGATATACAGTACGAGTCTCTCTATCAAGGCCTCGTGAACTGTTTACAATTGAACATAACAATTCTCAATACCGGGGCACTCAGAATTTTTGACCATATGTTTTCAATCTCCGAAGAAGAAGAGGACGAAGAAAAGATGCATCTTGAACAACGATTCTCTATTCTTTTTCCATTCTACACTTGGTACGCATCGTCGAATTCAATATTTCTGCTTTTGCTAAAATTGCGTGTGAACTGCTCACAAGACGAGATCTATTGGACAGCAATATGCTGCTCGATTGAAGAAAGAATGGTTTCGACAAACCTCAGCGTTCCGCTGGATCAGTTGGTTGAGCTTTATATGCTATACCCGCATCTCCTCACTGAATCATTGATTGATTTCGTCTTAAAGTTTCACAAGGATAATGGCACATGTGTCACATCAAGCACGGCTTGGGAGAAGAGCTGCAAACAGATATTGTCGGCGTTTTATTTTGGAAAACAACAAGCAAAGCATCCCCCCAATGTCCGAATAAATGTTTTGAGATTTTTGAAAGAAGAGTACAATAAGTCCATGATCCTTTTAAGTGACGATTCCATGGGTTTGGAATTCGTTCTACTCATCCTCCGACAGTCTTTGATAGGTGAAGACGAGAGCGTGCTTCATTTTTTCATACACACTGTGCTTTATGATTTTCTTCTCACATGTGGTTTCCCCTCCTTCAAAACTGTATTGAAAGCTCTCATGGCATTTTTTGATGGGTTCAATGACTTGGAAACTAGTAAAATTGATACTATTTTGGACTCAACTGGTCATTTTGGGAGCATCAAGAACCAAAAATCAATTGAAAGTTCTGCAAAGGTAAATGCTGGAAATAATTTACCGATTCAAAAAATTGCAGAATGTATTGCGCAGCTTCTTATTGAATTGCTTCCTACTGATTCTTTCAAAACTAATGAAGCCTATGACTGCTTAATTATCTTACTTCATTGCACAATTAAGAAAAATGTACACAAGACACTGCTTGTTATAATCCGGGTTCTCATTCGTCTACGCGCAACTTCGGAAGGATTTCTCTACTTTGGCGAGCCCAAAGACATGAACGGACTTGCAACAACTTTCAAAAGAAACACTTTAGATGAGACATATACTGAAAATCTCCAACAATTGTGGCATTTTCCTGAGAACATGGAATATTTGCCCCGGAAATTCTTTAATCAGCCGAACGAACATGTGTTAAGTCATGTTGAAGAAAGAGGAGTTGCTCTGATGCACCCCGATGCTGTCTTTCTAGATCTTTCTAAGTGGCTTGATTTGGTGACTTTAATTCTTGGAAAAATTATTCATTGGGAGATATACTCTTTCATAATGGCTCATCTCTGTTCGCAGCTCTTTAACTTGTCTCTTTTCTGGCATCTTGAAAACCATGTTTTGGCTATACAAGAGATTATTTGCGAGCAAATTACACTAATTTTTCCCCCGGATCTTTCGTTCCCACTACCTGGAAGTGATTTAAACAAGTCGGATTTGCAAATTGCTCTGGTGAGAACACTCTCCTCTTTGTTGGGATATCACAATCTTTTTCAAAAACAACATGAAGAAAACATGGTCAAATCTTTGTTATTTGGTTTGGGCTCATGGCAAAAGTCAGCCGTTCCTTGTATTCATATATTGACAATCTGCTGTTACGAAATCCTGGAGACTTTGAAGAAATACTTGATACCTATTTTGACAAAGTTGCAAACCGGAGTAACAAGCGTATATGCGAGCTCCTCGGCTCTCGAGTTTTTGATGGCATTAATACATGTTCCATCTTTAACTTCCAACTTTACAACCGATGAATTCCGCCAGGTCTTCGCAATTTGTTTCAGGTATATTGAACACTCACTTGATACCAAAAAGAGAGGTTTCGAAGAGAAGGAAGATATTCAAAGAGAACGATACTTAACCCACGGGGTCGATGCCGAGGTGAACGTCAGAGCATCTACACATACCATAGAGTTGACGCCGCTTTTCTACCAATACTTATTAGTCGTGTCATATGCAGTGATAACGAGATGGTTTCTACTAGTCAACTTAGCAGAAAGATCCCTGATAAGCTCTTTTATCGTGAGGAACATAATATCCTGCAGCGGAGCAAAAGATATTGATCACCTTGATGATATGACTGTTGCATATCTAGATGCAATAACCCGTTTCACTTACAGTAACATACCCCTCAAAATCGTGACCAAAACGAACTTGCCTTTTCGTGGATCCATGTGCAGATGGATTCTTGGGCACGCTATTGTGGAAATTAATACCGACGTGAACAACGGAAACTCCATTATAGTTTTGAGACGGCCTTGTGGCCTATCAGCTTTTGACTTGAGCTTAAATCCCAATATGATTTCAAAGAACATGAGAGTGCAACCTGGAGAGGCATTAATGTTGCGCAGCCACTTGTTGTTGCAATTATTCAAACCATTGGATCAAGGAAATGTTTCTAAGCCCATAGCTTTGTTGGATGACGCTTTTACAGAACGAGCAATCAATGCGTTTGACCGCATTCCGGTGGTGTCCCACCATAAAGCTGGTATAATATATATTGGACCAGGACAAAATGAGGAAACCGAGATACTTGCCAATACGTGTGGATCTTTGGAATATAATCAGTTCTTGGAAGGGCTCGGAGAGTTGATAAGGCTAAGGACCAGTGAGTCTATATACGTTGGTGGATTAGACAAGGAAAGTGGAACAGATGGAGAATATGCATATTTTTGGAGTGATGAACTAACTCATCTAATCTACCACACTACCACGTTGATGCCCAATTTGACTAGTGACAAATTTTTTGCAATGAAGAAGAGACACATCGGAAACAATCACGTCAACGTGTTCTTTGATGAATCGGGCCTTCCATTCAATTTTAATGTGATCAAATCTCAGTTCAACTTTCTCAACATCGTTATTACTCCTCATACTGTGGGCCAAAGTCACGATATGCGCAGGCGCCGCTTTTACAAAGTGATAACTTACAGACGAAATGGAGTTCCCGGGATCTTTTCTACCACGCATTTTAAACTAATTTCGTTGGAGCAGTTGCCGCATTTGGTGAGAAACCTCGTCATCATGAGTAATCGATTTTCGGAAGTTTGGCACAATCTGGTGAACGGTACGTACACAACGAATTGGCAATTGAGAGTTAAACAACTCAACACCTTGCGTGAGAAAACTCTTGAAACTCACAAACAAATACTAGAGGAGCAGAGTGCCACTGCTCAGGCGAACATTTCCAGTAACACAGCTTTATCTTTCTTGGAACAGCTCCAGCCGCACCGCGCGAATGAAAAAGAGAAGATGCAAGATGCCAATGAATACGCCAGTGGGGCCAGTGGCGAAAAGGATTTATACTCTCTCTTAGAATTCAATTCTTACACATAATTTGCTCCGAAATGAGAAAAAAAATAAAGAAATAGAAAAAACGTCTTTGGTCTTGAATTCATAGCGGGATCTCCATGTTCCGATTGCCGGGGAGTATAGCCCGATGCCGCAAAGGGATGAGTGAGAAGGGAAATAGGGGCAGCACCCCCCTTTGTGGGAGGCGAATGATTTGCACAGAGTCCGGGAGCATAAACCCGAGGGCAGTCTCGAATCAATCGGGATTGTTTATATTCCTATTGTGCAGGCGGATGGCTTTGCGCGGAGAATCTGCGCAAATAACTTGCGAAATGAAACGTGACGCAATTAAATCCGCGCCTCCACGGGGCTGCTATCGTAAACGGCCGTCCACAATGAAACAGCTCTTGCCTGTGTGTAGCATGTATATTTGCCACCAAAAAGCAATACTTCGCATGTCTCCAATACTTGCCTGCGGAAAAACTCTTTTGAGATGACTCCGTGTTCGTTTGGCAACCGCGCCGCCCTTATCTCAATTAATCTGAGGAGCGAATGTACCTATTGCACCAGGCATGCAAAGCACGAGCAATTTCGCACGTTGGACCAACAACTGCCAAACCAACTTCAACAATTAATGAGCAGAGCAACCATGAGACAAGAAGAAAAAGAAAAAGGTGGTGAAGGCCACTCCCCGCCCGCTTTAAGTTTTCCGACTGCTCCTTGGCACAAACCTAACTGAGAAGTAGATACGGTCTTTTCATCTCAAGCCTATATATAGGTGGGATTCGATTCCGGTATAGACCCCAATTGTCAGCAGCGCCTTTCGCAATCCCATCGGCCTTTGTCGCCACCGCTCCAATATTAAATTGAGCAGAGCCGCGCTTGGCTTCAAAGGAAAAACGTTTTCTAAATAACCACTCTACTACCATGTCGACCATGTCTGCACCGGAATGGCAGAAGTTGACTTTTGCGGCTCTTCAGTCCGTTAAAATGACTCTTACGAGGCAGTCCGAGGCACTCAAAAATCTTGCTAACCACTATGTTGAGAACATCGACACGCAACTCGACATGATCAACAGTATCAGCCTTTTGTACGATGCCCATAGCAGGGGAGGAAAAATCGTGTGCTGTGGGATTGGAAAGTCGTACAAAATTGCAACCAAAACAGTGGCCACGCTCAAGTCTTTGACGATAAATGCCGACGAGTTGCACCCAGCAGAGGCGCTTCACGGTGACCTCGGGCTACTTCGTGAAAACGACTGCATAATTTTTTTCACAGCCAGCGGGAACACACCGGAACTCTTACAGCTCCTCCCGCACATCTCTCCAAATATTCCTATTGTTTTGCTCACGTGTTCCAAGGAGTCGAAGTTGGCCTCGCATCCACAAATCACAAGCCTCCTATATGCCGAGTTGCCCGAACACCTCAAGGAAACCGTCATCCACGGCCTTCCGGCGCCAACAGTGTCGGCAACATTGTCCCTTGTTCTAGCTGACGCTGTGTCTCTTGCCCTCGGAGAAATGGTGGAGGTTGATCACATGAAAAGAAAAAAGACTTTCTCAATGAAACACCCGGGTGGTTCAATTGGTTCGGACCTCAGCCACTTAAATGACAATTTCAACCGGGGGCATTCTTTGACATCGTCCCAGTCAGACATGCCTCACCACGGAAGCTACTCTTCGTTGTTGTCTTTAGACCAACTTCGTGAATGTTTTCGCACAACCTCCATTGCTTCATCTGATCCAGAATCTGTCTCGGAGGAGCCACAAGCAGTGAAGCCTGACTCAAGCTTTACATCCGCCCTAATGAATGCGGGTAAAGACGCTTGTTACAGAACCACGAGGTCGGAGTTTTTGAGCTGGTCAGAGTTGGATCTACTCAAGAATCTGACTCTCTATGATTATGTCATGTTCGAGTCCGAGCTGAAGGTTCTAGCCACGGACACTGAAAAGGTGCGTTTGATGTACAAGGATGTTTCTGGTCTGCCTGTCGGTTTTACGGGTATGAATGATTTTCTTACAATCTTTCGTGAAGTTGAGATAGATGTGGCTTCTGTGTAAACGATACTACTTACGATTATGAAAATTTCAGTTCTAGAGAGACACCTCTTTTTATTTTTGGGCACATCAGACGCCTATGGTTAGATTATTTGAATTAAACATATATACAAGTTTTGAATTTCTTACAGGCTGGTAGCCACCGAGTCATTGGCCTGCTTCATCTAGGCGCGATCGGATTCGACTAAGGCAGTCTCGGCAACGGCTATCATCTTCTCCACGGAGGCCAAATGCTTGCCATAATTATTTTTCATCGAGAGCTGTTGCAAATACTGTCTCAATTTCATGACCAATTTCCTTTTCTCTTGGCTCTTTGGATCAAACCCCTCAACGAGCTTTTGAATCACATAGTTGGCATATTGATCTTTCATCATCATGGCCAATGGTGATTCATCATCCACGGTTTCCATGTCAAGCTCTTCGTTTCCAAGCATGACTTCATCGAGAATACGTTGTCTCTGCATTAAGGACCCGTGTTTTATACATTTCTCAATCACGTTCGAAGCAAACTTATGTTTCGAAAAGTTGACGACAGAACCAAGCACAACTTGAAGAATCTCCTCCTGATCTTCCGGCGCACCATGTTCAAGTATATGTTGTATCACATAATTTCCATACTGATCTTGAATCAAATAAAAGATGTACTTCTTGAGTTCCGCGAGAATGAATTGCTGGTCTTCAGTATTCGAAAATTCTAATAAGCGCTGAATTACCCTACAGCCGTAAGGATGGGTTGCCAAGTGATAAATATGATCCCGCAAACTATCAAGTATGAATCTGACGAATTCAAATGGAATTTTTTCAATGGACTTCTGGATGACATGATTGCCGTTCTGATCTTTTGCGCACACAAGGATATAGCTCTTCAATTCGTTCACGATAGTGATCTGACCTTCAAGCGGAACAAATTCTAGGGCTCTTTGAACGACACGGCACCCATACATCTGCAAAGAGAGCTCGTAGACATTACTGATCATGCTTTCCAACAAAATTTGCTTATGGGTATCCGAACCGTGTTCAAAAAACTTCTGGATAACGTAGTTCCCGAAGACATCAGTCATTAACTCATATGAAATATCGCGAATTTCGTTAAATGCAATTTCTTTTTCTTCGTCGGAAGCAGATGGTAATTTTTGTTGGATGAAACGAGAGCCATGTTGATCCTTGGTGAATTCAACGACATGGCCATAGATATCTTTCAAAAAATATTCCTTGCCTTTGGAGTTGGAACGAACCTCCTCCAAGAGCGGCGAGCGATAGATGTGGTGGGCAGACTTGCCGCCACCGTTCCCCCTGCCGGATTTCCCCTTCTTTCCTTGAGAATTAGAAGACGTATTTTGATTATTTGTGTGATTCCCGGAAGACGGAGCCGCAGTTGACTTTTTGCTCTTGTTTGAATGCTTAATGTCCGGGGAGTTTTGGGGGCTTCGTTCGACAGCAGCCATCGAAACAGGGGGCACAGGACCCGGAGAGGGTACAGGCCCGTAGATCGAATACGGATTGAAAGGCTGAAACATGAAGCCTGGACCACCAGGGTGGAATCCTCGGTTCATCAATCCTATTCCTGGAAATCCCACGGGGACCTGCTTCTCTGCCTCGTTGGGAGAGTTAGGCTTGTTTTCAGAGCCATTTTCGGACGTTTGGGTCCGCTCCTCGTTGGTGGGCACGGACTCCATGGGCGGAATTGGGGGCATGTATGGCATCATTCCATACATGCCTCCATCCATGAATGGCACACCGTTCATCACAAAAGGAGGTGGGCTAGGCGCAGGGAAAAATGGGCCTCCCCGAGGGAACGCTGCCTGTGGGTGCGCAGGTGCACCGTCGAGGAAATAATTAAAATTTTGATGAGGCGTGAAAGAGGTTGCCGTCGCAGGGTTCCAGAAATTCGGATGCTTGTTCTGCAGCTTATCACCGCCTGGTCCTGAATGCACATTTGGGTCTGTGCCGGTTGACAAGGCGGCGGTGGCTTGGATCGGCGAGTTGTTATTGTAGTTGTCGATTTTCTCGCTGATTGACTGGTGTCTAGAGGAGCGGGCCGGCATGTTCAAATTCTCGTTCAAAGAGCTGTGCGGGGACATGTTGAACGCTTTCGCCGCAGTCAGCTCGCTGTTGAAACTGGTGCGCCGGGGCGCCTCGTGCGTGCTGTCGAGGGCCAAAGAGCCCAAAGAGTTTGAGAGTTCGATCTCCTTTGTGGCATCTGCGATTGACGCAAACTTACTCAAGAAACTGTCTTGCGGAGGGTGTCTGTTGGCGATCCCGCCGCTGATGGAAGCAGTACCAAGAGGAAATGCTTGCGTTGCCTTCGCGGGTCTTGGGGCCGCAAGTGAGTGTGGCCCTCCTGTACTAGCGGCGTATGACACCTGGGCGATACTGGACTTGAAATCAAATAAGTTCCCCTCAAATTCGCCACTGTCCGTGAACGAAAAGCTGCGCTGGTCTCCACGGGCAGAGCCGAGCAAATCTGACATGGGCGTGTCAACCAGTTCAAGAACAGACCGATAGTTGTTTTCCGTATTAGGGCTGGGTGGTTTGGAGTTGTTGGACCAGATTGTCTCGGAAGGCATTTTTTTATGTACAAGTATGGGGTGAGACTGGTGGGCTGGAGAAATCAGTGGCGACTATGTGATAGCGCTACAGAAGTGGATTACTTTCTCGATACTCTGTGATAAATAGGATTTGTTTCGAGCAGGACTAGTTCCACGGTTTGTTCAATATTGACTGTCGCTCAGAACAGTCTGTTAAAAACAAAAAGCGAATGGTGCGAACTGCCGGGGTGAATGAGGCCCGGGTACCAAAATCTCACTTGTTAGGCGTAATAAAGACGCCGCAAATAACAACCTTTTCGGATGGCCTTAATGTATAGCAGACAAAGACAGCAGAACCTGAGACCCGATGCTTTGAATATCAACGTATTTGGAAGCGGATCCTGACTTACAAAAAGACCGTGAGTAACCAGACATTAGTCACGACTTTAGCCAGAACAAGGTAAAAAAAAGGCGAGTCTGTGCAGGCTGGTATGTCTGACCAGCTCGCAGCCGAGTTTTATGAGACATGGCAGAACCACAGATCAAAACTGATGATGGGCAAAAAGGATTTTTTTTGAATAGTGAGGGCCACTTTGAATTAAGACCTGTAACTTTCATACTTTTTTTTGGCTTGGTTTCACGCCATGTTATAATTAGGGTTTGCGACATTGAAACGATTGTAAATTTCGTTAACGTAACAACAGATTAGGGTATTTGGGGGAAGTTGCAACAGCAGCTCACTCAAGAAACTCTATTCTACTCTGGTTTTTGACGATAGTGAAAAGGCATAATTCTTCAGGCTGCTTTAGAAGCATCAAGAGCTATTCTAGAATTTATCGTAACCAACAAGGGTGGGAACAAAGCACAAGCGGTGATTCAAAATGGACTCGCCGAGATTGGAAAAATGATTGCCTATGTGAGCTTCTTTTTTATTCACCACAAAAGCTTTTTTTTTTTCAGAAACGACCAAGCAAACAGATTACTTGGAGCCTTGATCCTACTCAATGTCGTGTGCATTCATTCATGTCAAAATCAGTTGGTATTTGCAGACTGCGCTTCCGCGCTCGAGCTCCCCGCATGGGATGGCATACATAATTTCAGTCCTCCTATATTGTACTTCCTCCATTCCAATTTTCATCATGTCTCGTAGCCCCCGCATAGCTTCGGACAGGCTCCTCAATTTGTTATATAAAAAAACAGTTCCGGAGGCTAAGCCTAGAATACCAGCAGTGAAACGAGTACTCTATGACGACGAATTCCCTTCAGACCCATCGCAATCCGTCCTTGATGGGCTAATGAAATATCAGTGGAGGCGAAAGCCAATGACTGATGCCATAGATAAAGTGTGCACGACAGTTCCCGGGATCAGTAAATCGAACGTGCTACGCTTGGGCTGCAAGAATGCGTTTGTTGGAAAGGCCGACTTGGTGAACTTGTTTCCGATTGTTGCAGAGCGTGAATATCTTCTAGATAAACCCCTTGAAAATGGACTAAACTTCCACTTCATTAAAGCAAGAAATCCAATTTCCTTGCTGTTTCTTGCTGCATACTACCTCGTGTTTCCAAACTTCAATCAAGCTTGTGTATACTATTTGGAAACGCTAGGAAAGCAGATCAACGGTCTTGACTTGGACTTACAATTCCTGGCTCTCACCAGCAACGAGTTAAAACGAATGGCGTCACCTGTTCTTGAAAACCCAAGGCCAATAGAAAACTTCATGTACCGGTCAGAGAATTACGGCAGCACACCCATTACTGATATTTTCTCAAGCTCTCCGATTCAGTTAAAGACCGTCGAGCACCTAGTCGAATGTCTGAAGGATCGGTCCCTGTTTGTTCACCAGGAGATAGACCCGCTTTTCACTATTCTTGGAACGTTTCTGGGTCAAAGCTTTAGACAGCGACTGGTTATTGTGCGCAACATGCCTCTAGGAGTGACTGGCCCAGCCATTGAAAGCTTGTTATGGGATTACGAGTTTGAAAATGAAGACAACCCACAAGCTTCTATCACCAATTTATACTCGGACGCATCGGCGCAAATCACGATAGCCTTATTGAAATTCAAAGATCAGAGAAATGCAAAGCGTTTTGTCAGAAACTACCATGGTCGGAAGTGGAACAAAGTGACGACCCGGAAAGAAAAATCTTTCTACGAACCCATTCTTTGCGAAATAGCCGATTAAATATAAACAGATTATGATCAAGTGAAGCTCTATCTCCCAATGATTCAAAACATCCCATAAAAAAATGATCATTCGGTCAACTCATAGCTTTTCCAGCTTGAACGCACAATTTTATATTGGGGATTAGGATGAGAAGAACTTGTATCAAGTGAAGCCGAGTCCCGTGAGCGCGAGCTATCTTTCAGATCTTCGACAATCACATACTTCTCCCAGATCTTCTTTTTCTTCCAGATGACAATTATAGTGTCATTTCCAGACCAGCCCAAAATTGCTGAGTCATCTCTTGTATCGGTATCAAAGTCCACATGATACTGACTCGTGTTCACAGAGCAAAACGACCAGGTTGACTGAAAATAGTCAAGAAGGGGGAGTGGCAATCGCAATCGGTTCAACATGTGTTGACGGTTGGCCGGGACATCCCTCAGAAGGTTCCTATCTTGAGAATAATCAGCCAAAGGCAGTGCAAGGGGCGATGCAATATTGAACACATGCAAGGTATTTTTGTCAGAAAAAACAGCTAGGCTAGAATCATTAGAAGAGAACCTCATTGAGGTTATAACAGCTCTATCTAGTCCTCTTCGGAACTCATAAACGAGGGCTGTAGTTTGAGTTGAATGGACTCGAATGATTGTCCCGGACTCACTTGCAGACGCTACTAATGTACCTGTGCGATTCAAGGCAATAAAGCGAATTTTGGATTTGTGGGCTTTCACAATGCTCACTAACTTCTTTTCCTGCCCCTCTGGAGAGACATCAACAAGCTGTATCTGACCAGCAGCACGTCCGGGAAATGCAAGAATCTGACACTTCGAGCATTCCTTGGAGGAGGTACTATAGTCGCGTCCAGAAAGCGAAGAGTGGGAGGACCCCAAGCGGCTGGGCAGTGCTGCTGAGAGTATTGAGAGGTCGGCTAGACCATGTTCATTTTCTATTGTTTCATAAGTTGCGATCTTTTGGGGCAGCGCAGAAAATCCATATACAATGACCTGATTCAAAAGAACAACAATGATTCTGATTCTTGATAACAACACATTCAAAACCGGGCTCATAAAGCTTAAGGTCAAACTAGGTCTTTGCTTGATGTCGTCCCATACAATCACCTTGTTGTTTGGAAATTTGGGGGTTCTCCCACCTCCCACCATTGCCAAGTAGTTGGTTCTATGTAGCATTGACACTAACCCAATCCCTGTGCCTGCTCCATTTGAAGGCGAAAACTTTCGGCAAACACGAAGATCAATTGGATTTGTATTGTACACTAAAAACCCTCCTTCATGGGCAATGGAAAAACATCCTTGGTCTTGATTAAAGGACACATGTAGCACTTTCATCTTAGGAGGACCACGCAGATTCCCCGAGCCCGTAATCATCTCTGGATGCCTTTGAAAGATATGTGTCAATTCAACCTCAATTTACTGTCTGAGATTTTTAGATTCCAAGGATGCCAATGTTTGCCGTTTAGAAAATAGAGGCACCGTGTCTTGAGTGCTATTTCTATTGCAGCCTTCGTGTCCAGTATGATTGAAATGAAGATGGGGCCCGGAAGAGCAAGTCAGGCTGACCAACAGAGATGGGTTTATTCAATGAAGAATAGAGCTGCAGTCCTGGTTTTTACTTAAAAGGAAAGAATTGAGGAAGAGAACGTATAGTGGAAGATGGAGGGGTGGGGAAACACGGGTAATGTGCCTGCGCCAACCTGATGCGCGATATGCGCCGCACAAACATTCTTTGATAATCGACTGACTCACATTCATCCAAATTGAATTCCCAGTTCTTCGGCAGGAATGGGTAATTTCCCGATTTTCGACAGTCTTTTTTCTTGTGCATTCGAAACAAGTTTTTACCTTTGAGTCGTGGAGCTCTCTATTTTCTTTGGAGTTACGTCATAAAATAGTCGCGTCTTTCCTAATCGCTCTCTATATCCATTATCTCCTCGTCACTCGATGCTTCTCCACGCTTTAATTTTTCTGCAATTGCCTCAATACTTCCATCCTGAGTGATGTTGCATTTCGAAGGAGCCTCGGGAAAATTCCTCACTTTTCTGGTGAGAGGCGTGGCGAATCGGTTGCCGAATGATGTAGAATCGGCTAGAATATCACCCTTCAGCCTGTCTGCATCTTGCGATTTCAACTTTCTTGCCGAAATGTGGATGTCCGATATTTTGGAATCCATTTGGCTGAGGAACAATGGAGAATTTTTGTTTGTTTGTAGGGCTCGCTTCAAGAGATCTTGGGCCACGGGATCTGAAGGTGCCAATGCTAGCGCGTCATGTAAAACTTGGATGGCCTTATGATCGTTGCCCAATTTCATGTAGACTAGGCCTACCGAGGAAAGAATATTGCTATCACTTTGGGGGCTCAACTTTAATGCCTGATTAAAGCAGTCCAATGCCTCATAGGGGTGATTTGATCTCCGGAACACATGCCCCAAGTTCGAATGAATCGAGATCCAGGTCTTACTATCGGAATTGAGGTATTTCGCTGCACCGAGGGCTTCCTGAAACAAAGCTTCGGCTTTTTGTAAGGAATTTTTGTGGTACTGTATTACCCCCATTTCGTTGAGAAGAAGAGGATCAGTATTGCAGATCTGGTAAGAAGCCAAAAGGTACTCCTCAGACAAATTGATACTATTCATCTGCAAATGCTGCATGCCCAAGAAGAGATTAGGTAGATGGGTTCCAGGGAAAAGTCTGGCTGCAAACGCATATGCGCTAATTGCTTGCTCGTGCTCGCCCTCAAGAGCAAAAGTGTGGCCAAACCCAATCCAGCCCTGCCCACTATTAGGATTGAGAAGAGTGGCTTTGCTGAAGAACTTGCGTGCCTCGAGAGTTTTGTGGATAGAAAGATAATAGATACCTATCGCCAGCCAGGTCAAAGGATGGGACGGGTGATTATCTGCCAACTGGTGAGCCTTGAGAAACAATTTGTTACGGCCGCCTAACTCATACAAGCAGCTTAGGTAGTTCGGGAGAAGACTGAAATTGTAGGGATCACGATCCAAGACCTTTTCGCACAACTTCAAACACTCATCATAATTGCATTTGATGTACAAGTAGTCTGCTCTGCTCAAGACCACATCTGCATTGGAACCCAAGCGATACTCTTCTCGTAAGATGCTCTCGGCCTCTTCAAACTTGGAGATGTTCATGTACTTGCTCAATCGTGTAGTGTAAAGTAGCTTGATTAGCTCGTCATTGTCGTCCGCATCTGCATAATTCAACTGGTTGATAAACTCCCATTGCTCTTTGGGAGATAAGTAGTCATTGCTGATGAGCTCATTGAAGGCTTCGAAGCATTTGACATCCACCATCACCGCCTCCTTGTATGCCTCTTGCGCTTTCTCGTAGTTGCTCTGATTTGCATATACAACCCCTCGAAGGTAGCACATGGATGCTTCAAGCCGCGTGCCACCGTCCGTGCTTCTCACTTTGTAGTTGGAATCTTTGAAAGGGTTTGACTCGCCCAAGAGATCCATGGCGTCATCCCATCGCTCTAGTTTCACCAAGGAATATGCAGATAGGTACCGGCAGCTGAGCGACTGCTCGTATTCAGGGCTGCTGGAAAGGAGTTTGTGTGCACGCAAAAAATTGCCCCTGTTGAAATGCACTTGAGCTAGCCAGAACGCATCGTTGGGATCGCTTGTGAGTGAGAGGATCTTGTCGCCTATGTATTCTGCTGTATCGTAATGATGTTGCATCAATGCATCGTGGCGCCAAAGACGTAGCTTTTCGACACGTGACAACGGCTCGTCGCTGGGCTGAGCAGCGTTTCCGGGCTCGTGGAGATGTCCGCTGATATTGTCGGGATCATAGAACAGGGACAGCAGGGTGCCTGGGGTCTCGAATAAATTGTTGTGTGGGTTTGGAGGTGTGATGAACACGTTTTGCCTCCGACTACCGATTTGCGGTGAAATGAACAATGTGGAGTTGTGCTGCAGGGGGGTTTTTTGAGGCTGGACCATTCCGAATTCTCACACAAATGTGACGTTGTTTTGTAGCTTTGATATTAAGAAGCATGCTCCATATAGGCCCGTCGCGGTGCATGTTGATGCGCATACTCGTAGAGGACCAATTGCGCGAGGCTAGTAGAACAGTAGATGTGAAGCTTTAGATACAGCCATTTGTGGGCCCGAGTTTCCAAGTTTCAATTTCTGCTCGATTATTGTTTACGGGTTTCGAGGAAGGCGGGCAATTGATTTGTTCTCTTAGGCCCGCATTTCACTGTCCATTGCTGCTAATAACAGTGGGTGAGCTTCATGGGTGTTGATTCGGTTCGACCATAATTTTCAAAGTCCGCCTGCAAATGGAATCATCAGTCGCTGGAATCTCGTGATGTTTTTAGCATGCTCCTAATTACTGGTAAAAGAGAATTTGTGCCCGTGGCTTTAGGAACCAGGTCTTCTGAGGCAAGGACAGCTTGTGCAGGTCGCTGCAATACATGAGATGAGCACCGGCTCAACCCTTTCACTCGCTTGCATCCATACGTAAAAAATGACGAGTAACAAGGCAATGACGCAATTCAGAATTATGGTGGGCTCTTACGAGCACAACCTCTTGTGTTTATCGCTTATCATGAAAGGTACAGCCGAGGCGGTGTTCACGCCAATTTTCCATTTCCAAGCCCATACCTTGTCGATCAAATCCATTGACATTGCAAAACGCTACTTGGTCACAGGATCAAACGACGAGCATATTCGTATTTACGACTTGCAGAAGAGAAAAGAGCTTGGCACTTTGTTGAGTCACCAGGGCACAGTCACCACTTTGAAGTTTTCTAAAGAGACGACCGAAACAGACGATCCACTGAAATCTGGAAAATGGCTTCTTTCCGGGTCCGAGGATGGTAAGATCATCATCTGGAGGACGAAAGATTGGGAAACCTTTGGCACTTTAAAAGGCCACCAGGGCCGTGTGAACGACTTGGACATTCATCCCTCCGGCAGAGTTGCCATTTCGGTGGGCTCAGATCACACAGTCAGATTATGGAACTTAATGACCGCAAAGAAAGCTGCCATTCTCAAGATTAAGGGACGGGACCACTTGGGACAGCCTGGGGAAATCGTCAAGTGGATATCGGGGGGCAAGCATTTTGTGGTGGGCTTGTTGAACCAGTTGTTCATATATGAGCTTTCAGAAGAGGCTCTGATTGTCAAGAAAATACAATTCAAGCCCACGTTGATGTGCATCGAGACTGTGACCCTTGGAGACAAGGAGTACTTGGTTGTTGGCCTCAATAACGGTTCCATCGAGTTTTACGAAGTGTCGAAGGCATTAAGCGATGAAAAGCCAGAGCCTGGATTTACATTGCGGGGCCACTCTAACAGAATCAAAGGATTATCCTTCATTTGTTCTCCGTCAGACACAAACGATGTTCCTTATTTAGTCTCTGTTTCTTCGGACGGGAAAATTGTCGTATGGGACTTGTCGGAGTCAAAGAGAGATCAAGTTGCTGTTTACGACAGTGGTGAGAGACTAAATTGTGTAGCTGTTTGCGGCGAATCCATCGAGAAAGCAGACACTATGAAGAGAAGACATGACGAAGTCGAGACAAATGACCCACCCAGCGAATCAGAGTACGAAACGGATGGAGAAGAGTTGCGGAAAGTGATGCTTGCCACGAGGACGGTCAAGAAAAAGTCCAAGAAGAACAAGAAGAACAAGGACAAGGTCAGTGTGACTTTGGAGTAAGCCACGTGCGTCCAGCCTCAAAGTACTGAAGAGAAAAACGAACGTAGATAATAGATGGTACCAAAGAATATTGTGATGAGTTCCAAGCCCACATTGAGACGGGGAAAGGTATTATATTCGATTTGTATCGTGCAGATGCAGGCTATGTAAATCAATGAAATGGACTATTAGACCCAATGGAGTGAACTATTAGACCCAATGGAATGGACTATTAGACCCAATGGAGTGAACTATTAGACCCAATGGAATGAACTACTAGACCCAATGGAATGAACTATTAGACCCAATGGAATGAACTATCAGACCCAAAAGAATGGTATTTCAGACCCAATGAAGGGAACAATTAAAGGTGGCCATCCGCGGCAGGCAATCTGGCGACGTGATGGTCGAACAACTCCTTGGCCCTGGCCCAGACGGGTGCAGTTTGCCTGTCCTTCAATTGCAACAAAGATGGCATCAAGTCCTTTGAAAAGAACTCCGAGGCTTCTCTTGGCAACAAGGAAGGCAAATGGTCGATGGAGCAGACGGACAACTTGGGGCCTGCAGAGGTCTCCACTGGCACCGTGGGGTCGTTGAAAACAGTGGCGATTGTGTACACGGGAATAGGGTTGTGTGGATTCGTCGTGTCCGCAGAAACATCGACAATCGACCTCAACTTTCTGTCGGGCTTGTTCAAGGACGCAAAGTCGATGAAAGGAGGAATTGGCGTGGACAAGTAGATACAGTTGATGAAGATATCCGACTGCACAATCTCCTCGAAGGGGCCGCCCTTGGCGGTCTCCTTCATGTCCCACTTCAACAAGTTCTCCTCTGGGATGCCGATCTTGCGGAAAAGATCAAGGGCGCCCGAGCCACATCTTCCCAAAGCCCCAATCACCAAGCACGTTGGCTGCTGGCCTCCGTTCTTCTGCAACGCCGCGTCCAACTCCTTTTTGACGTGGGCCACCAAAGCAGATTCATTGGGGTAAGGCGACACGGCAGGCAAGTCTTCGGAGTCGCTGTGTGTTTGCTTGAAGGCCCAGTCCAAGACGCCAATTGCAGCTCCGGCGAAACCGGCATAGAACCCGAACGCAGCCACTCTTCTGCCTTGCTCGTTTTCCAAGAACTCCAAGTCGTACAAGGTTCCCTTACCGGCAGGGAATCTCTGCAACACCTCTTGCCAGCCTGCCTGGTCCTTGTAGCAGTGGGCGAACTGAATGTGTTCATGAACAAGGGGGAAGGTCTCGTTTTCAGGCAATTCCTTCAAGCCGATAATAAGCCTGTCGGCGGGGGCGGTCTTCCAGGAGCCGGCAGGCACAATCGTGGCGCCCACGGCAGCGTACTCTTCGGCCTTGAAGATGGATTGCTCGCTTTCCTCAACGTAGACTTCGTAACCTGCATCCAACAACTGCTTGGTGGTGGTTGGGGTCAAGGCGGCTCTGGCCTCCAAAGGCTTGGTCTCTGCTCTAAGATGTAAAGTTACCATTTTGTCTCGGATAACGAATGGAGTGTGTTTTTTCGTGGCTTTTTCGCTGGCCTCGTCCATCCGTGTTCGGTGCGCTATATATACGCACGCTTTGTCCTTTATGATTCACCTGATACTGCACGACCGAAAGGGCATTTAGGCACCGCGGTGACTGATACGCTGAGTCACCGCGGTGATTGAGTGCGTGGTGCGACTGCGACGATAAGGCCCTACGATATGGCCCCAATAGATGCACCCGCAGGATGGGCAAGCAATGAGACGGGAGCCGAACACCAAAAGATATACAATGAGCAAAAAACGCAAGGCCGCTGCCTGAATACATGGGTTTGGAATGATTTTTGGGGCATGGTGATTTTTGGGGTGGGATGAATTTTGGGCTGGGGTGAATTTTGAAGCTGGAGGGAATTTTGAAGCTGGGGCGTAATAGATGTTAAGATGATGGTTGATGGCGCGAGCCTCCTACCATAATGCTATATACGTAGGGTGCGGCTCAGCGTCCTTGTGATTATGACGAGCGCGCATTTGGCAGATTGAAATTAATTTTGATTCTCGTGGCCGGACCCGTCCGAAAGCGCCAATAATGTCCCTTGCGTCGTCCACAGCTTGTTCTCAGTGGCTTCGAATGTGAAGAATGGTGTTTTCCAGGACTCCAGCTGTGCGGTGAGAGGTTGGCCTATATCCTCTGTGTCTCTGCCCGTTATATTCTTGTATACACGCACGCCGAGTTTCGATGGGAACCTTTGCTACTCCATGAAAGAGTAAGAAAAAAGCGGCCCGTTCCAGTTCTGGCTTGACCACCCCGCTGCGGACCGTGCCTCGCACGAAGCAACTTTTCGGGTTCTCCGTCGCCATATCTGGCAAGATGGTCTCACGTGCAGTGCCACTGAGCACGAGAAAAAGTTCTTTATTCCACCTCCAATAAATTGACCAAGATGAAAAACAAATGGCGAAAAAGACCCCGGTGTATCTCAAATGGCCAAGAAGTCTAAGGCTCAACCCACTGCGAACCATAGTCCGCACTCCCGCCACATGCAAAAGCCCTTTCGCCACCATCATCGTGACAAGCTATTTCCTGTATGGCTCCGGAGACATCTCGAAACATTCAACTCACCACTTTTCATACACCTATGTAGTGCCCTCGGTACTTAGTGTTCGTTTCTTGAGTAAAGATCTGTTGGACATTCGCAGATAGAGGGACTTGCTAATTCTGGCAAATTATGTGCACCATTGAACTTTGAATAAATCCGGTGACATCGCACTGCAAGGTCATAACTCCGTCGGGTCCTGGGCTATCAGCACTGCGCCGTTCTACAGGTGACTTCCTCTTTGGGGCACCGTAATTTCCGCGCCACGCAACCGCAACCCAACTGGGACAATAAGCTGGGTGCACTTGCCTCGTTGCTTGCGCTCAACTGTATAAATATGCGTTCGGAGTGCATTACCCTTTCATCTCCTTGATCAAAGTCAAATTATAATTCTGACAATGGTTTCCTCTGTATTTGTATCGGGTGCTTCGGGATACATAGCGCAGCACATCTGCAATAACTTGCTCAAACAGGGCTACAGAGTGGTTGGGTCTGTCAGGTCCCCCGAGAAAGGTGACCATATCTCCAATTTGTTCAACTCCAGCAAATTCACCTACGAAGTCGTCCCCGACATCGAACCAGAAGGTGCTTTTGACGAAGCACTAAAAAAACACCGGAGCTTGGATGCTTTTTTGCACTTGGCTTCACCTTTCACCTTCAAGGCAAAGGATGTGGAGAAAGAGTTGCTCAACCCAGCAGTGAATGGAACTACCAACGCCTTAAAATCCATCCAAAACCATGGTTCCCAAATCTCCAAGGTCATTGTCACGTCGTCCCATGCGGCAATGTTCGATGCTTCGAAGGCAAAAGACCCATCTTACGCCGATAATGAAGAGTCTTGGAATCCAATCACTTGGAAAGAAGCAAAAACAAATCCCCAGCTGGCGTTCATCGCATCAAAGAAGTATGCCGAGAAAGCTGCTTGGGACTTTGTTGCTAAAGAAAAGCCAACCTTTTCGTTGAACACTATCAATCCTGTCTTCGTTTTCGGGCCCCAGGCATTCGACAGCGAGGCCAGGGCTCCACTCAACACTTCCTCGGAAATCATAGCCAGAATGTTGAGGCTAAAACCAACATCTAAGGCGCCTGGTCTTGGTGGCTATTTCGTGGATGTGAGGGATGTTGCGGACGCACAAATTGCGGTTCTTGAAAAAGATTTGTCAAACAAAAGATTGGTATTGGCGAGTGAAAAATTTGCCGGCCAGGATTTGATTGACATCCTCAACGCCAACTTTGAATCATTGAGGGGTAAAATCCCAACGGGAAATCCCGGCACAGGTGCGGAAATTAGAAACCAGCTGTCCAACGTCGATAATACTAAGACAAACGAGCTCCTCAAACTCAAGTATACGGATTTGGAAACAAGTCTCACCGACATGGTCAGACAGCTTTTGGCTGCCAACAAATAAAAGTCATGTTTGCAACTTGCATGATGTAATGTACTTTTTCAATACAACGCAATTACACACTGATATTTGACATTTGGAAGTACTCAAAACACACATAAAGCTAGATGGTAAGATGTGTAAGACTCATATATATGTATACATTCAAGCCTTCTTGATGCATTCAAGAACAAACTCTGCAAAAACAGGTTGCGCAACTTTCCAGTCGTCTTCCACATACGAATCACCGTATGTTTTGAACACCTTCTTGATCGATGCAACTTCATGTTCATTGCTAATTATCCCGTTGACAATCGCTTTCTCATACAAGAGCTGTGCAAATTCTCGGTCATTATCATAGAGACTCGCCACCATTAGTGATTCTGTCAATACACCTGTTGGAGAACGTCCAGTGGCAGGGTTCACTTTCTTTGAGACAAGATTTATGTATTCATTGTAAATCTCAAGTGACTTCTCGGATGAGAAGCGGCTTTTGGCGAGAATGAGTTGGGCGACAGTAGACACCGCGAGGCCCTCTGGGCTCACAAGAGTTTCGGCGATTTTCATAAAGGTTTCGTTCTTTGTCTTGAAAGATTGATAGCAGAATACTTTGACAATGTTAGCTTGGACGAGGTCAATACCAAATTTCTCATGTGTCTGATATTCGTGAAACTTGCGCAAGGCCGAGTCAACGTCATCTTTGTTTATGCCATACGTCTCCATGAGTTGCATCCGTAAAAACAACGCTTCTGGATCCTTTTTATCAAAGTCCAACTTTTGTTCCTCTACGTATTCAAGCACAGCATCCGTGTACTCCTTGATCCCCAATGGCCGTTCACTCAAAACGAAGTTTTGAAGAGCCGACGTAGAATCTGGTTTTTCCATTAAACTTCCATAAGATAGGATTTTTCCCAAAGTTTCCTTTCTTAAAAGAGTGCGATCGTGGGTGAATATTAGTTGGGATAAAGCCAAGAAGACATGTGGGTCTTTTTCAGTTGCAAGCTTCGTCGTATAAAGCCAGGTATAAAGTCCATCGATCTTCAAGATCGATAAAGCAGCGATGGCTCCTTTCTCGCGGAGAACCTCAATTAATTTACTCAAACTTTCCTCGGAGAACGACAAATTAGACACCTCGTTGAGTAGGGCAATTGCCTTGGAAATGCTTGTATCAGAGGGCGAGAAATCAACATCATCAGCTTCAGAATTCTCTCCGCACAATAACTTATCCACAACAGCTATACGAACAGCATCACTCACAGATTCCCCATGCTTTGCTAATAAATCTGTCAGGCTGAATACGCGACCGGGATTATGTTTTATGAGAGGCTCTAGAGCTCTGTTGTTCAATTTAAGGCCCTGGGGTCTTCTTGATGCAGTGAAATATAGAGAAAAGTCATGTGGTAGCCCATGATACAATACTTCATTTGCAATATCTTCCTCGATGTTCAGTCGCAAAATTTCATGTAAATGTTCGATGTCTGAAGTCGTCATCTTTCGATTTGTCAACGCATTTTCAACATCACTACTTCTCACATGCTTTCCCAGCCGGAGATCGCCAGTTAATGCAGCCAATCCACTGTTCCAACGAATACCACGATATGGCCGGCAACCTGGCAACGAGCGTAACATTGATGTCCCTTAGAAGAAGTGAGTCACTGTGAAGTTTTGATGAGGTCAAGGAATGCGCGCACACCATGGAGACACAATACATGTAATATTAAAAGCGGAATAATTGCAATTTTGAAAGTCGATATTTAGGTTTAATTCCTAGTCCAAGGCGTTTTCTAATTTGGACAATAATCCTATTGCGGGAATATAGTTGGCCCATTTATCTGTCACATCAAAGTGATCAACTTCATCAAAGTTGTAGTTCTGATTGAGGTAATCGTTGTAATGTATCCACTTATCCATGCTCTCACATTCATAGCTCCAACTTGCTTTATAAGCTCCTCCAAGTGCACACGCATTAGGGATTTCAACCTGATAGTTCCCTTCTGTCGCACCCATAATCGACGCCATTTTGTGTATGATGCTCTTGTTTCTTGAAGCCCCTCCAACAAAAAAGATTTTCCGTGGCCTTGACGTCAAAGACTCAAAAGTTTGTGGCTTTCCATCGGTAAAGATTTCACCGAATTGTGAATGAAGCTCATCAATGAGTGCAGTGACTTCCTCATCAGTCCGGGATTTGCTGTTGGAAGATTTTTTGGAGCTGTGAAGCATTGGGCCGGCTCGGACCCTGCAACTCACAGTCTGTGATTCAACAATGGAGCTAACATCATACTCCAAGTCCCAATAGTCAACTTCCAGAATATGCTCATGTGAATCCATTTCCATTCTCTTTGTTTGAGAGGGTGCATTTGGCACAATCTCTCCAATTGGGAAATAAACACCCAATCTGTTCTTGAAGTCTTCCGATTTGTCCAAAACCTCGTTAAACTTATCCCATGAATCATTTGTAATGCCATATTCTTCATTGACTGCATCACGGACTTTCTCCCTTGCCAAAGCACCATTGCTGTAACAAATCATTCCCATATAAGCATTTTTGATTGAAGGGTGCTTAAAAAGATGATATTGCGAAGAAGGTTGGTAGTTTTCAGTCACCAAAAGTACAGTCGTGGAAGTTCCTAAAGAAACCAAAACATCATTCTTTTGTAATGGCAAAGAAATAATAGTCGCTAAATTGTCACCAGTGAATGAAAATATTCTTGCATCAGGGGAAAATCCATACTTCTTGACAAAGTAGGATGATATTGTTCCCAAATGTTTGTAGCTAACAGGTTCGACGTCCCCGAGCATTCGCTTAAGTTTCTCCACGCCTTCATTTTTCTCAGCCTCTGATTTCTTGTCAAGCAAGGGATGTACGCCAGCGGCCACAGAAAGCAATTCTTCGTCGTATCTAGAAGCTGCTATGTTGTAGAGGTTCATACCACATCCATCGGCTTCTTCAATTGGAGCGATCTTCCCCAAAAGCACTGAGGCAATAAAACTTGATACTAAAGAAATTCTATCGGTGTTTTCAAAGACATCTTTTCCCGACCGCACAGCTAATTTACGAATCTGCAAGCCAGTGAACCGGTAATGTGCCCTCGAACCTGTAGTCTCTGCCAATTTATCAGGACCCCCCGAGACTTTTTCGAAATCTTCAATTTCTTGGCCAGTGGAATGGTCCTGCCAATTTGGAGAGGTGTCACAGGCAAAGGCATTGCCTAGCGCGTCGGACAATGAGTCGAACTCGTGCATTTTATCCAACAGAGAGGCAGCACAATTGGACCAGAAAACAGAGCCATGTTGCATTCCGGAGCCACTTATGCCCTTAACTTTTTCAAATGGGAAGCTGTCCTTCTTCATCAAATCAAATACATAATCCATGGCATCTAACCACATGTGCACAGGAGATAGAATTTCACCTGACTCCTCGTCGGACAAAACACCCTTCTTTATTTTGTATTTGTCTTTGAATTCAGCATCAAACTCCACGTTGTATGTAGCAAGGGCCTGCAAGTCTTTGTCTGTGACAATGATTTTGAGCTGCTGAGTCGACAAGTCGAAGCCCAAAAACAAAGCAGATGACGTATCATAAGTCATATTTCACTTGTAACCACTGAGTAGGATTTTTCTTGTATGCTGGCCAAGCTGGTAAGATAGCAAGAGCAGTTACTGCGATACACGTGGCAAGAACGTATAAAATGTGTAAAATGTTCTGGGTCAAAAAGCCAGCTGAAACACTGGCAATCACGGACACGTAGAGGAAAAGAGAGGTGTACTGCGATGCTTTTTTCTGGCCCTCGAAATCAATGGGAAATTCGATAGCGGTACTGATTGCCTTGCCAATTGATTCCATTTGAGAAGACTTCAAAATTCGATTGAGTGGGGTAATGGTACTTATATGTATGAAGATCGAAGACGTTGCTATTCGTGAGACGGGCCCCAACAGGAGCCGTGGCTTCTTGGATAGCGCACGACCCGGGAAGGTCAATCGCTTCATTTTGATTTATGCAAAATTCATGCATTTCTCAAAAAGCCTCTAGTGTCCTTACGGATCAACATAAACAGTTTTCTTTGTCCTGACACATCTTGCTTTTTGGTTTGAACATGTGGCCTCCAAATGCAAACTGCTTTCCCCACCGGCGAGCCTCTCGCGATTGATCTATAGGCCGTCTGCCCGAATTATACGCAAACGATAATTGACCGACCGAGGCTGTCATGTGATCGAAACGTAGTAGTTAGGCTCTGTTGACACACATGTTGTTTTTACAAGGGCAGCAATGCCCCACTTCATCAAACAGTTTGGTATGCGTGCAACCACACTTTGTCTCAATGTCTCAGGACGGATGCAAGAAGAAAATAGATGACACACGTAAACTTCAATGACCACCCGCGAGTCCAAGATCACAATCCCCAAGACCCGACATTTGGGCTCTACTACTTACTACGAAACAAGTTGCTTGAAAGACTTATTCCATAGAACAAGGCTGATGCAGATGCAGATTCTTTTTTTTTTTGCTGCAAACATAGTCACATTAAAATCATAAGACAATAAATAATAGGTGGTCGTTTCCGGGGAGCCAAAATCTCCTGGTTTTGTCCGGAATAGTCGGCCAGGCACACGCCTGACCTTTCATGAATTGTGGTTTTTCTCCACGTAATACTGAACGTCATTACTCATCAACTTCTCCTCTAAGAAATCGGCGACTTGATTGTACTGGTCTTCTTCAATCACCGACATCATTTTTTCCGGAGAAAAGGATTTGTCAAACAGAAAAGCGTAGTCTTCTTCAGAGAATTCAGGAAGGTCATGAAACTTGAAATTCTGAGAAAATGGTTTTTTCTCCATGACGGAATTCGTCGTCGAGACTGTAGTCGATCTTGTGAGTGTGGTCATGAGCAGATTCTCGTCGGAGTCAGAAGTAGGCGACAGCAGTCTGGACAACGCTGCTGAGTCTTCCTCGTCATCTTCATCCTGATCGCGCAATTCTGCCTCGTATTCTTCGCCAATGTTCTCGAGAGGGTCTTGCTCGAGGTTTATGAAGTTGAACAATTCCATCTCAAAGCCGGATTGGTCCAGCTCTTGATCAATCGGAGACACAACCGAATGGGGGCTTGCGTGAGAAAGACCGCTCATGTCGGATATGAGACCGTTCATGTCGTCGCATATTTCTGGATACACGCGCTTCCGTGCAGTGGTTGTGGTATCGTATAGAATCTCAACGGGAGGCGTTTCCGGTATTGCCGGCGACGTCACGAGCGACTTGAGGCTTTTGTAGTCATGAATCAACAGTAGTAGCTTCGTCTTGAGCTGGTAGTTCTCGTTATTTATAATTTGAATGCGGGCTGCAAGCTCGTCTGGAGAGTCCAAAGCAGACGAGCTGGCTGAGTTGGGTATCAGCGGAGCAGGGCACGGATGCGCTATCTGCAGCCTTTCTTTTTTCACCTCTGCCACTTTCCCTGGGCACAGGGGTGCATTTTGTGCTCTTGCGGTCTGCTGTTTGACCTTTTTCTTCTCCAGAGAAGGTTTACTCTTGCGCACGTTCTTGGGTCTTGGAGGTAGCACCCAATTTTTTGAGGTGGTGATGGTCAAAATGGGCTGTGAATCTAAAGGGCAAGACATTCTTGAGATGGTTCCATGCTAAGACCGTGGATTGTGAAGTGATGGACTATTTCGGGCTTTTGCCTGCTTCGCCGAAAATTGTACCGGTGGAATATATCTCCTTCAGAGTCTGTGAAAAAAGCCAGTGGACAATGATTGTGAGTGCACCGACAGCCTGAGAAATAGTCTAAAAGAAAAGAGCCGACTGTGGTTCCTGAGTCTTTGTTCTTTGAATTTGCGGGGTTTGCTCTCTAATTTATTGGAGAGTAGAATTGCTCTAGTGCTGAAAAATGGCAAAGCAAGAGCAATAGCTAATAGGCTTGTGTCCTCCAATGACTGTGGAAAATAAATAAGAATAAGATGGACCGTAAAGGAAATGTTAGAGCAAGAAAGCAGAAAAGAGACCGATGGATCTTTTCTTGCGATGTGGTGAAATCAGGGCAAAAGAAGCAGAGGACGAACGGGCGCAACGGTAGTATTTAGGTGCTCGCTATTTTTCTCGGATCTACATCGCTTGCAACACCGGCCCTTAACACCGGTGCGGGAGAAATCGGGTGCGCGCGACGCAGCCGGAAACGTGAAAAAAAAAATCTACAGAATCGCTGTCCCATACAGTCTTCGTGTCGCAACCACGGTTGAGTCTCTAGAAGAAAGTCATGGTTCAAGAAAGGTTCCAAGTGCAGAGTAGCATCTCTCCTTTCGTTCAGTGCTCGAACAGTGGAAACCGAACTAGCACATTCCACTTTGGATTTGCCATCATGTGTCGCCGATCACCTTATTGCTTTTAGAAGCAATGTTATTGTTTGAATTCTATTTTTTTTTTTCTATTTTTGTTCGGTGTTGGCCCGGGAGTCTCTTGCCATCGCGCTGCAGTGACTTCGTATTACTTCAAATTTTGTCTCATTGGTGCGTGATTAACCCCGGATATCTCCTGCCCCAGGGGTAAATCTCTAGGGCCTCGGAGTTAAACTTGCCGAATGCGACCCCACAAATAATCACCGGCAGCGGAGCCCGACCTCCAAGCCAGAAACCAGCCGGGGAGTCGAAAATCTTTTCCTCTGCAGCCAAATTCGCCTCAAACGGAGATATCGACATTCCACCACCTCAGCCCGTCAATGCCCGCTCTTGCTCTGATGGCAATATCCGTGGATCAAACCGCCAGCGCAATGGCCATGCGCACGCGCTCGCAATCTTTTTTGAGAGTCACACAACCAGCCACAAGTTTTCTTTTTTCTCGACTCGGTCGCGCCACCGACTGCATCTTCGGGTCGGCGCCGCGTCTTACGCGTGTTCCATCACACCTCCACTCAATGTAACTCCGGTTTGGGAGACGCAGAGCATTAGTCCCGCGTGCGGTTAGAGTTGGGCGAAGCTGTTGTGGAGCTTCCAGCTCAAGTGTGTGCGCCTCAAGGCGAGGCTCGAATGGAACCTGACTATGAGAAGTATTGTGTTTTAACCAGCACCCAGGCCCGGGAGGCGACGGGAGTGTACCTCCGGGAATGCCCCGGAAAGCTCGTGCGAATACCCTAATAAATTCGGGCCTACAACCGTTTCAGCTTTGGCCAGGGGGTATTGCAACTGACATAAGCAATCGCACTGCTGGCGAGGGGGTCTTTGCGGGAGTCTCAGCGGCCTCCCCGAATGTAATTTGCCTTGATGCTGGCGGGGCCGGCGCCGCATGTTCCAAAGTTTAAACCAGTACACCCCACTTACGGGGTTGAAAATGGAAACGATGGAGCGCCCATCCAACGCGTCTTTCGCATAAAGACCCGCTTTCCGCCCGACCTGAGCTAAAGGGCGATGCTTGGCGCATGACTTGCAGTCACGAACCAACATCCATACTCAACTCAGAAATAATAGTAAGATGCAGAATACGACGGCCCACACTACATGTTGCCGGAACTGACTGTATTCAGCGCCTAGGGCCTAACACATGACCTATCCCCGGGATCAAGAAATGGCATTTAGGCTATTCCTCCGCCCGGCCGCCGCACCTGATTATAGTATTCACGCGCCATGCGTCGTTTCATCTTCTTCGTGTGAATGCAATTTGAGAAGCCTATAAACCAAAAACAGGATGGACTCTACGTGGCTCAATTCTGAATGGGCATTGATGTGGAGGGTTTCAAGACCTCATCCACATTGCTGGTCTTCCAGTAGGACGTGATGGTCTTTGGCTGCGTCAAGAAGGTGACCCCGGCCTTCCCGTAGAAGTTCAAATCGCCGAGAAACGAGCCCTTGTTACCCGTGAAAGAAAACATTGGCAATGGCACGGGGATGGGCACGTTGACTCCCACTTGGCCGCACGCGATATTCTTGGTAAACTTCTGAGCAGCGGCGCCGGACTGTGTGAACAAAGCAACTCCGTTGCCGTAGCGATTTGAGTTCACCAACTCGATGGCCTCGTCGAAGGTCTCGACATTCACCACTGCCAAGACAGGCGCGAAAATCTCCTCGTCGTAGGCCCTCATTCCTGGCCTGACGCCAGTCAAGATGGTGGGGCCCAAGAAGTTGCCCTTGGAAAACTTGGCGTCCTCCGGTTTGAAGTTTCTTCCATCGAGCAAAACGGTGGCTCCGTCCTTTTCGGAATCCCTGATGATCTCCGTGGCTCTGGTCAACGATTCAGGGTTGATCAAGGGCCCAAAGTCCGAGGAGGAGTCGAAACCAGACCCAACTCTCAATTTGGCGGCATCCGACGCGACCTCTTCGACCCATTTCTTTGTTTTTTCGCCCACTGTGACTAGGACAGATATGGCCATACAACGCTGACCTGCAGCACCGAAAGCAGCGCCGTTCAAGGCATTGATAAAGTGGCTTTTGTCTGCGTCGGGCAACACAATCAAGTGGTTCTTGGCGCCCAAGTTGGCCTGCACTCTCTTCCCCAAAGAGGTGCCTTTTTCGTGGATGTACTTGCCCGCCTTGTCGCCGCCGACGAACGTGATGGCCTTGATGCGGGGGTCCTCAAGAATCTTGTTCACAGTGGCGTGCTTCCCGTGCACAATGTTCAAGACGCCTGGGGGAACGCCCGCCTCAGCAGCCAATTCAGCAATTATCATGGCCGCGCCAGGCACTCGTTCCGAGGGCTTGAGAACACACGTGTTGCCGGTCACCAATATAAGGGGTAAGCTCCACAAGGGCACCATTGCCGGAAAGTTGAATGGGCAGATGGAGCCCACGACCCCGAGCGGCTCGCGCACCATTTTGGTCTCCATGTCGGAAGCAACCTCCAAGGAAGACGCCATGAGATCATTGGGGGCGTTGCACGCAGCCTCGGCCACCTGCAAACCTCGCAAAACATCTCCTTTGGCGTCGGCAAACGTCTTGCCTTGCTCCAACACAATCATGGCGGCAATGCGGTCGTGGTTCTTCTTCAACAACTCGACGAACTTGAACGCGATTCCCTGTCTCTTGATGATCGAGTACTGTTTCCAAGTGTGGAATGCCTTCTCGGCAGAAGCCACGGCGTCCTCCAACTCCTGGGCCGTTGACTGGGGCACCTTGGAAATTACCTGGTTCGTGGCGGGGTCGTGGATTTCAAACCACGTTTTGGACGTGGATTTCACAAGCTGCCCATTGTGGAACGATGGTGTCAAGTAGGGCTCCGTGCCTTGTTCCACGTGTTTTGTGGGGTAGCTCAGAGCAGACGAATTGAGCGTGAGTGTGGAGACGTATCTGGCACTTCTCCTGAGGCCGGCTTGCGCCGATTTGGAAGCAAATCTCAACATCGGGATGACTCGAACAAGATGTGTTTTTTAGGCTGAAACACTGGGTGCTTTTGTGGAAAAAGTGCACTCAGCATATGGCCCAGGCTTTATAAGTCGTTGATCGCGAATCGGGCTCCGCTTCCATGTGGTCTGCATGGCCCAAGCGGAACCCGCTACCCGCGGAAATATCTTTCCCCACACTGTTCTCGACCATGAAAGGAAGAACAGGTTAAACTGTCTGTTTTTTTTTTTTGTTTCGTTTTGTCTGGTCTTTTTTCTTTTTGAAGAAGTACGGCTTGGATTCGTTTTAGTCTCAGCAGCCAGGGCTGTCTTCCCAAAGACTATTGCTTCTGGCCAGTTTTGGATGGACCCAAAGTACAATCTGGCCGCCGCAGCAAGTCCACGGCGCCGCAGAACATATCCTGCCGCACACTAATAATGGAGAGTGTTCAGGCCCCTATTCGTGGGAGCTTAAAAGCTGTCAAAAAAAAAAACATTATGGGTGCATGCAAGAGCTTCTTTCCAGCGAATAATGTAACACTCTTCCAGAATTCGAACTCTCCTCTCAAACATGTCTGGAATTCACGTGAATCAATTAAACATTTCCACCAGTCGCGTGTCTGCGTCCGCTACAATGGTAGCGATAAGCCACCGGGAGCATTTACCTGCCCGATCAGGGAACTGTTGGTCGACCTCGCGGTCCGAAATGCGGCGGTGTCTGCAGCACCGCGGAAATGTTGCAAGAAACGATTGCGAAATGAGACCTCAAGAGATATTTGCTATTCAATCAATCTATAATACTGTCTTATTCCCAAAATTATGGGCTCTATCTCTATTATTTCTTTCCCTCCTCTGCATTGTAAACATGGAGGTTCCAGAGATCATAGTACAAGTCTAGCAAGCATGATGTACTCCATGCTTGCGTGGGACTCGAGTCTTTGCAAAGTTCACCATCTTTATTGGTGAGCTCCGTCAATCCCGCCCACTCACTTTCACGAATCCACTTCTTGTGCCCCCTTAGTCTCAAGTTGACGGCTTGTAAAACTTCACTAGAAGGTTTACCCTCGTTTTCCGCCACATGGTTGAAGTACAAGAATGCACGAATGAAATACCCAAAACACCAGACCCACTCCGGGCCTTGGTGATAGTTCCGACCCTTTGAGGTTGCAAAATCGTCGCTATCCTCTCCATTGTTATAGTAAGGTCTGTAATTCCAGTCGGATGGATCCAATGTCCGCATTCCAACAGGCCCCCGAATGTATTTGTCCGCTATGTTTATCGCATTCTTAGCCCTTCCTTCAGTAAAAAGCTCTGGCGCAACGCACATAGCTATCGGGAAATTAGCTCGCAACTGGTAATCCTCATACTCTTTGCCACTGTGAAAAAGATCTTTGTAGATTCCTCTTCTGTTGACAACTACAGAATTGATCTCAAACTTGGAATCTTCCGCCGGATCTTCGGGAATGTAGAAGCACCTCTCAAAGTTGTCTTGCAATAACTGTTCCCAGTCCTTTAGAGTGATTTTTGACCCGTCTTCTTTTTCCACAGATGTGTAGTCAAACAAGCCTTTTTTGTTTAAGGTGTTCACGAATCTTAACGTGCTTTTGAGAAGACCTTGAAGTTCAACCGCTGCTCCGTCTCTTGGAGTGCCCGGAACACCTCTAGACCCAGCTTTAACACTCTCTCCCATTTTGTCCATCCACGTTCCACAATTGTATTGAGAACCACCGTGAACGAGACCTGTGGACCAATCGACATGTATCAGAACATTGAAGCCCTCATCGCTCATTTGCGAATCCAAATTGGGACCAGCATTTGCCTCACGGTACCTTATTCCTTTGGCATGGCGAGACAAAATTTCGAAAAGAACGTCTCTTATGGAGGTTTCGTGGCTAAATGCTTCTTCGTGGTCCCATGGAATCCATGTATCATCTAGAGGAAATCTGCGTGATACTTTTTCATCCAATATTTTATGGCCGTTCGGAACAAACGTCACATATTCTTGGACAGCTTGAGCAAAAAACCAAACGGCATCTCTAGCATTGTAACGAGGGTTTCTGCCAGCATCCAACAAATTTGGTATCAAACCATGTTTTAATGTCTTTGCAAAGCCGAGAATATGCTCTCTGGCGTCGTTGAATCTTCCAGGAACAATCAAGAGCCCACGAAATGATATGAATACATCCCGTCCCCAGCACCTCATATAGTCATTGCTGAAATGAGGAAGCCCAGCAGCCAAGCAGGCCTTCTGTTCGTTGGGAAACAATGAGGTGTTGTTCATCAATCCACACATCTGAACGGAAGTGAGTGCCAAACTTTGAACAAAGTTAGTCGACGCCTTGATATTGTCGTCAAGCAATCTTAAAGCTCTGAAACGAGCAGCCTCATAAGCAACCCCGACAACAAGAGCAAAATAATGGGGCCTCAAAAAGTATGGCACCTCTTTGATAGCCTCTGTTCTTGACCTAAGCCACAGTTGAAAGTGTCTCAAACTTTCTGAGCTTTGGCTGTATTTATCCAACCTGTCAACGATGTTGTCTGCTGCCCACAAACCACTCCGCAAATGATCACAAACAGGATGACCAAGATCATTTTCCCAGATGACATGTTTAAGAACGCTGATCCACCCTTCCAATCCAGCATATACCAAGTTTCCATGTTGAGGAATATTGTACGTGCCATCAGCACCTCCACTAGCATCTCTTTCCTCTGGCTCTGACCTGAACAATATAGCGTTGAGGTCGTAGAGGTTCAAATTCAATGAAGCTTGTAACGCACCCTCTTTGACAAACTTATCAAGTGACGCATCAGCTGCAGGGATTCTGGTCGAAAACACTGCGATACTTCCAGCTTTGAATGAGTCGTCGATCTTTATAAAGGTGTCGGCACCGTTACTATCCAATCTTGGACTATCGACCGCGACAAGTTTGGTGGGAATTCCTGTCAAATAGTTCGAGTTATTCGTGTAATTTCCAGTTTTTTCGAGAACGTAAGCAAACTCGGGCTTCACTTCAGTTCCTTTCAACTCCACAGGAGTTAAAACTTGTCCATTCGGGTTTTCTTCAAAATGAGATCTTGCAATCAAAAACCATCCCCTTCCAGTGACTGTGTTGTATCTCTGAATGGTGATATATTGCCCCTCGTGGTGAATGTACATTTCTTGATCATTGAAAGAATCATCGCTTTCGCAAGAAAGTGAGTCACGAATAGCATTTAGTTTCTGCTTCGCCAAGGCAATACCACAATTCTCATCAAACTTATATTGCCTTTTCTCACCAACCACGTCAAGTAGCTCGGGGTATGTCTCATCATATCCAAAGACTGTGCCCACCGCAGAGGAACAAAAAGATACTAATGCAGCTGTTGGAAGAGTATCTTCAACTGTTCTAATTTGAGCTGGGGTTTGGTTATCGTGAGTGCAGTCCATGAACAAGGCATGCGGCGCTTGGTAAGTAAGGATTTTCGGGATCTCCAATTCAGAATTACTCTGTGAAAACTTTCCAGAAATTGGTTCCTTTTCAGCAGGATAGGCAACGTCATCCAAGGGCAACCAAGAAAAGGATCCTATTGGTCTACCTCCATGCTTGTGTACTAGTCTTGATAACTCGTCAACAGAACCTGCTTGCATAGCTTCGCGGATCAATGAGTTGATGCCTAATCTTTCAACAAAAATCTTGTCCATACTTTCCGAGCCAGTAAATAATTCGGCAACAACGTAAAGATTTGGGTTTACCGAACGGGCAGCGGCCAACAAAGATTCTCCGACATGCAAGGGCGTCGAATGACAATTGTCTAGTCTAAATCCGTTGAAAACCTTGGCACATTGTTTGGTGTATTCTGTCATGCGTTTCCATAAGTAGGGTGAGTCATTCGAAGATTCTCCGTATCTGAGTTTAACGCAATCAGCCCAAACAATAACTTCTCTTCTCAAGTAGGCTTTTGACTTGTCAGAGGCGAAATCTACAAGTGGATTCCCGCCCCAAATCCAGCCATTGTTAGCCAACGCCCAACTCTTGCCATTTTCATCTGCGAATCGTGTAAAGTAAGATTCAGTGAATCGGTTCTCCGAAGTTATCAACCCTAATTTTGGACCATTGTCAGCAAGTCTCATGAAGCGTGCCCTGTCCTCAACTTGCTTCTTGATAGACTGAACATCATTATCATACTCTTTGTAAAGCTCGGAGTTTATTTCATCAATCACAGTAGAAGCTTTCTGCAAAATCTTTTCGGAGTCAGATCCCACTACCGACAACAAAATAGCCAAAACTTTTTCGGCGTCCAACTTGTTTGCAAACCTATCAGAAATAATTGGCTTTTGATTCTTGTTGGCACTCTTGAGAACAAATTGTGACAATTCCAGCAAGTTCGATTGGTCAACAGAAGGTGGAATTTCCGCGGGTTTCACTGACATTCCGAGCTTGTTTATTTCGTTTAAAGTTCTTTCTTTGTCGAAAACGTAGAACTGCCACAACTTAAGGGGATCAATAACATGTTCATTAAGTGCACCTAGGACTAGAGATAAGTCCCTTTCGGATTTAATTTCAGTTGGCAAACCAAGATCGGCGAATCTGTCAGAAAACTTCGACAAAGCTTCATCCAATTCGATTGCAGGACGAAGGTGGGGTGCGGTTTCCAGATTGTACCCAATATCTGGATGTTGGCGGATCCAGTCTGAGTTGTTTGCTGTGTGATTCCACACAACATCTGTTAGTGATAACAAAGAGTGTTTATTCATAAGACCCGAAATGAATTCAGCTGCCTGATCATTTGATTTAAACAACGAAGGATCAAATTTAAGCTGATCAAAGATCGAATAGGGAGAGTTGGAGGACCCTCTCTGTTGCAACGGTGTGAAGTGGACCATGTTGTAGCCCTTCTTGGCTATGTAGGAGAATAATGCTGGCCATTTATTAAGCAGCCCAGCCCATTTTGAAATCACTGTTTGAACGTTTATGGAGTTAAACTGGATGTGTCTTTTGCCAACCATGAGTTGAGGGGGCACATTGAAAAAGAAAAGATCGCTTGATTTTTCTTCTTCTCCCACATGATACTTGATGAAGTAAGAATAGGGGCCAGGGTTATAGATAGGAATAGTGATAGATATATCCTGGTGAAAAGACGAGTCCAAAGAATACTCTCTGTACGAGTGTCTGTCGAATGCGTCCTCCGAACTTTCAGGAACGTTGACCAAAAGCTTGCCATTATTTGTAATCAACGATCCTGCATCGATCCTAACGACCAAATTGAACAACGCTTCGCCCTTCTTTCTGCCTTTTGGGACAGAGGGCAAGATCAATACGCCGTTTTGAACTGCACGATTTGGCATGGGCTTCCCATTGTCAGCGAGACGAAGAAGGATTGTTTGCGTCATAGAGATATTTTAGACTTCTATATTGAAACTAAAGCGTCAGAAATTTTATGGTGTTCAAGCCAATATTCAAAAGATGATGTACCTCTTCGTGGGAACTAAAAACACAGAAATCACGAAAACTGATGATCAACCGGTGGGCAAATTGAAGCCTGATGTATAGTTGCAATATTTAAAAACGTGATCTATTTCACGTTGAAGTCTCTCTTCTATGCTTTCCTTTACGTCCTTATGATGGTAGGACTATTCGAAATGTTTGAGCCTCGGCGATCTGCCGACTGTTATATATGCCCCACTTCCGATAACCAGCAACCCCAGCCAGATCCGGGATATAAAGACGCGGAAGCCCTCATGCAGATGAAGCTTCAACACATTGCTTCCACCTGTCCCATGAAAGGTTTTGGCTGCACTCAAAACGATGATGTGTTACAAAAACAAACGTAAGCTCAAAAATTATTGAGCGTACTTGAATCTTATCTTCCTGTTACACTTGGTAGGCGGTCTATATCTCTCGAAAAGTTTAAATTGAAATTGTCTGGTCATGCGAAAACTTCTGCGCGCACAGAGCCTGCAAGTAAATTTAGACCCGCAACTTCGGCGTCGGCGCTTTCTTATCATACGAGATTTACCCCACTTCAAAACTAGCGTGGAAAACACGTGCCTCCAAGCATACGATTTTCTTAATAAGCCGTTTTTCTTTCTTCGTCACTTCTTACGCTTCTTAAGTCCGAGTGCCTACTGTTCGGATGTATGTTTTCATGCTGTCTTGGATAGAGTTCTCATTGCTTATTTCTCTGAAAAAAGCCAGCAAAAAATGCGCCGCTGTCCTTGTTCTCGCTAATTACGCGAACATTGAGAAAAATTATTGAGAGCGCCGAAATTTGTCCTTCATCCCTGTTCGTTTACCATCAGGCCTCATTCCTTTACCTGATTCAACCAAACAAATAAATGTTGCGAGTTGTTGGTAAAAGACATCTTAAAGGTTGGCAAGCAAAAACAATTAAAAAATAAGCTTCCCCACCAGGAGTCGAACCTGGAATCTTCTGGTTCCAACAGAAGTGGTTACTTTCGTAGCCAGACGCCTTGACCATTGGGCCATGAGGAACGAAGCTTGACTAATCTTCTCTCAGCTCTAATATACCTTTTAGTTTGCGCATAGATTTTCATTTTGAAGGTCCAAGTGCTTTGAATATTTTGGAATACTCATTTTATACTATATATCATAGGCTTCTGTATGCTTGGAATCTAAGCCTACCCCTTTAATCAGATGAATGCCATGAGGACTGTCCAGGCCGTGACTAACGGAAGGGGACGGGCCGAGCTAAGACACTTGGTACGTAGCTGGGAGCTGTTTAAAGGTTTTTTATATATATTCGTTATATAGT